CCTCCCAAGTCTTACAACCTGTGCTACCAGTCAAACCTTCTGAAGGGAACAAACACAGAGAGAACTCGATCATATTATTGTACTCTATATATCAGGCCCTTTGCAGGGCATTGCTTTTGTTCGGTTGTCACGCTCAACTCTTTGTGCACGGGTCATGTTTGCAGACCTGGAAACTGTTCTGGCAAATAATTATAACAACCAACAGTTCGGCCTCAAGTAACAAAGACCTGCAGAGTACTGCAATTAAAGAAGAACATCTTCTACTTGAACTTGGTTTTAGGAGAGAAACACAAATGTCTCCAAGCTACTTGATATGAAAAAACTGAATTCTTACCAAAGCTTTTTCTCCGTATTTCCTCCATTGGGTAAAATGCTTGAGTAGAGAACAACTGCATGTCCACTGGAGAATTCCTTTTTTGGAACACTGCAGAAACGTCTTTCACACCAGGTCACATCTCAGGTCACCTCATCTCAGGGCTGTAATTGACTCATTTTTAAATGTCCTTTTACCCCGGAAAATAATTTATTCAGATGGAGCTATAATAAAAACCTATAAAAAGCCTATAATTAAAGCTGCTATATCTGAAAAGATGTTGATATTAATCTTAAGGAATTACGAATGAGAAAATATTCAAATATAACCTAACCCTTAAAGTGGATGCATTAATCTGTCAGTGTTTTACAAAATGTAGCTAACAGCGCAGACAAATTTAGGATGTGCCTTTGTTTCTTCTCCTTTAGTCTGAAAAGTCAGAGTACTGAGACTGTTGTGCAGACAACAGCTGCAGGCAGAGGTAATAACAGCCAAGAATATGGATTTTTAACTAAAGCAGTGGCAGGTGAACATGCCAGCAAAAAAAAAATATGGAGACAAAAAATCCCAGATGGCATCAGTCTGGAGCTACAAACTAAAAGACTTCAGATACTGTAAGCTTTGAAGGACTGTGTACTTCATGGAATAGAGGAGTTATTTGTATACTTCAAGGTTTAACACCATCCTCTGATTCCATGTTTGGCAGGAGCATACTACACAGGTGCAGCTCATTGTGAAGCTTTGGTTGTCAATTTCTTTATGCAGTGTACAGAAAATAAATTCAGACGTGTCAGTAATGTAGGTCGACTACAAAAAGCTTAGAGTTTACTCACTGCTGCTGTGTTTACTGAGAGATTGATCGATAATAGCTGCTGTCGTCAACAAGTTCACAAGTAAGTTAAAAAGAAACAGTGTCCAGCACAGTCTAAAGTTCTGTCAGAAACAAGAAAAGAAAATTGATGAATCACAATAATTCCAGATTTTACAAAACCATACTTTTCTTCTTTCTGCAACCCTGAGATTGAAAGTTTTGCGCTTGGAATGAATGAATCTGTGTAGTCAGAGCTGACTTTACATTTTGCATATTACTTACTGGATTGTGTAAGTCGTTTTGACACTGATCCATTAACATCCACTGTTGTTTTATGCCTGCGCCATCACTGGGATGTAAAAGACCAAGGAGATTCCCAAGGTAGTAAATAGAGGCTGGATTTACTGCAGATTTTCATCAGCAGGTTTGACAACACAAAGACTAAATGATCATAAATCCAAATTATTTTTTGTTAAGCCCAGTAACGCAGCTGTGCTGTGATGAATAGAGATCAAACATAAAGGTTGAAGAAGAAGAAGAAGAGTGTGTGAGGATGTTGAACCTTTGACATTGATCTCATCGGCAGATTGGCAACAGGCCCAGTCATTTTTTTTAAACATAAATACTACATGAATCAGGCTTTGATGAAGACGACCAGCAACTAGAGACGAAAAGAGGCAATAACCGAGTCAATAGGAGAAATTTAGCATTAAATGTGTGTTCATTTGCTCCATAAGTGGCTTTAATTTACTCTGAGAGCTGCTCCACAGAAGAACGCTGTGGTTGAGCTTCAAATAAAAACCAGATTGTCAGAGACAAATAGTCAAAGCTGGGTGATTATTGTAAAGCTATAAAAGAAAGAGAAAAAAATCCTGGGTAAATATTTGACCACAGCACCACAGACTACAGACGGGACACCCCTCCAGAAAGATGACATAGGGACCTTCATGTGGGCGGAATGCCACAAGAACTCAGTGTTCTACGCTAGCGTGTCCCCTGCAGTCTGTTCAAATGTCCAGTGAGAAAAGAGTGAATAAAGAGTCTCATCATCATAGGATGAAATATGTTTCAGAGATGAAACATCTATGGCTCATAGATGTCTTTAAACTAGGGCTATCAATAGATTAAAACCAAAAGAATTATCGTGATTAATCAAGATACGTGAACATTTGAAAAATGTAAAAAAATGATTTTTTTTCTCCGTGTCTGATGCTGGAGCAGAAATACAAATAACAGCAAGTTGATGTATGTGTCCCATGCCTGTTTTTATTTATGACTAATCCAAAGGACATGATTGATAATATAGGAAAATGTTAAAAATAATAAGCAAAAGTATTAATTAAGATTTAGCTTCATGGAGTTGGATTTTAAGCTTGACTGTTCATCCTGACGGTGCCTTGAGGAACGTGTCACGTTGCTAACAAAAATTCAGCAAAGCTGTTGTTCAAAACAATAAAAATCATTACATTATAATAATTATTGCTATTGGATACGCAGAGTGTGTCAATTAAAATGTGGTAACTTTGATCTTGGATTAATTTGACAAATGAACTAACATAATAAACATTAAAGTTCTGAGCGCCCTTCTTCAAACTCTTCCAACAAACAAAATAGTATATTTTTTTAATGTTTTTCTGAAATTTGGGGCTTTTATTTGACAGCACCTGGCTTCCATCTTCTAAGCACAAACCCTGGACAACCTTGGTCTGCCCTGCCGCTGCCTGCAGACAGAGAGCACATTCATCCCAGAAGTGGGCACAGTGAGGAGACAGGAGGTGGTGGGGGTGGCAGCAGACACACTCCAGCTTAGAGGAATGTTTCAGCCACTTTCACTGTCATGGCCGTGTTGAAGGCACAGGCAAACAAAGGCTGTGTTGCCCTACGCTTCAGTCTACATGTGATGATCAGATAAAGGTGACTTCGTTTTGACATGATGATCGGTGAGTTAATAAGCCTGATCTTTGGCAGGATAGCAGCATTCCTTGCAGAAACTAGGAGCGATATTTCCCTGGATTTTCTCCACACACACTGCAGCTGAGGTTATGAACTTTTAAAAAGGCGCTGACAATGTGGGAGGGCATTGCATCATGTCGATTTGTGTTTTTTCTTCTATGAGCAACAGTCAACATAAAAAGAATAAAAAAACACAGCAATGCTCTACGGGTGTGCGCATGAATACTAGCCATTAGAGCACATAGGGAGGCAGGGACTCTGGGTGGGGGGAGGCGGGGGGGGGCTGCTCAAGGTACATCTATCTATCTGTCTAAATGTGCAAACAGATAACAGTAATCAGGTGGTTTGAATCCAGTGTGTAGACTGAGGATGAGATGATGTTCCCAGGAATGTGTTATGACATGGAAAAGCCATGTTCTGTGATGGATGGGAAACGGCATCAACGATGCATAAATGACGTCTGATGCAGGAGTGACTGGACTGACGTGCAAAAACATGTAATGGAATACAGTGTTGAAAAGTGTTTCTGTAGAGTCAGCGTTTTGATATGAGGTTAAGAAGTCAGACTTTAGCAGAAGGCGGTGGGAACTATCCAAGGGTTGGGGGTTTAATTGCAACTATGTGTGAATATGTCCATGAGCAACCCCTCAGGAGCAATCCATACCACTAGTATTCCTCAAGCCCATTCAGGAAATGAGAACGTTTACACCTCCCGTAGACTGTAATCTTATCTTTTTAGGCTGTGGGGAATCAGAGGACAAGTTCAGTACAACTCTACAAGATGACTACTGACTGTATCAATTCTAAATAGATATTTATTGCATCAGCATAAGAAGCAGTACAATTATATACTGTATATATACGTATATAGCAGTTGCCATTGTTTAAAGGTACATATCCACTATATCTTCAAAGAGACAGCACAGAAAAAGACTTTCTTGGACAATCTTTCTAATCTCGTTTTCCAACTTTGGCCACTGGAACACATTAGACTTTCTGTTTTTAATAGAACACAGTGTAACTGGACTGACGTGCAAACACATTTGCATGGTGTATAACGTAAAAACACTAGCTTTTGAAGATGGAACTCAATGGGGGTTGAAGGTACGACCGCATCAAAGTCCCCAGAGCACTTATCCCTGGTTCAGCGTCACATCTGAGCCAAAAGGAGTGGTTTCAGTCCGTGCCTTCCAAACGGCAGTCACAAGTCACCAATTAAATAACTGCAGTGGTGCACAGCCGAAATTCACCCTTTTTTTCCATTCCTAACAAAGATATGCGTACTCGGCCCATCCAAGTGCAGTTGTTGATGTTATCTTTTCAAACTGGTGTAAACGGGGGAGGGCAACCGTGGTGTGCCCCCTTCCCCCTACTGCCCCCCAAAAACAAAATGTACTTTAAATTCCTTCCTTCAATGTTAATAAGGGTTGAGTGTAGCTGTGAAGCAATGAATGAGAACAGGAGTGTGTGGCCTCCAGTATTCCTCCTGTGGCACCATGTAGTTAACACACAGACTCACTGTGAGCTTCTTGGTTAACACCAAACTTTGAAAAGATGTTATATTTATTTACAACAATCACAGATTATGACAAGGCCATGTTTTATGTTTCTTAAAACCTTACAGTATTTCTACAACTAATATAAGTTTTTTTTTATTATAAATAAACCTTATGAATGTTAAATACTTTTGGATCACAATATGATGTTATGAACTTTACTTGGGTTAAAAGAAACTACATGAGGTGACCCAGACCCGTGCGGGAGGTCTTGGCTCAGTCTCTGCCTTAGAAACGCATGGAGATCATGGTCGGACTGGGGTTCCAGTGATCGTCTACATCATATTGTTTATCTTCGTACAGTCACTTTAAACACATGATGATGCACCGCCCTTAATAAGTGAAGAGTAGATATTTAATGACCAACCTTGGAGGCAGAAAACACCGACGACGAACATGGCATCCATCTGTGTTTTGTTCCTGTTGAGCGCAGCGGGCTTTCTCCACCTCCTGCTCCTACCTTCCCACCGCCGGCTTTCACTCTCTCCAGGCGGGTCCATGCGTGTCCTGATGCCGCTCCTCGGTACTTCTCTCCGGCGACAACTCCTAAGAAACAGTCGGTCGTGTAATGAGAGAGCAAGCTAGCGGCGGAAGGAGACGTGTGTCGCGGTGTGCGCACAGGTAAACTTGCGTCCGTCACTCGCGCAAGTCTCCGGGGAAAGCAAACAGAGAAGCTCCAGCTGAGTGTTGTGGAGACTCAGCACCAGGAACAATTCAGCAGGCACATGTGGAGATGGACGCGCCGCTTCACCGACCAGCAGCGGCCGCACGAGCCAGTGTACGTAATTTACGTGTGTGTGTGGGTGTAAGTCCCGGCCAAGAAAGAGAAGCGCGAGCAAAAGTTTAGAATCAACTTTAAACTTCCATGTGTCCCACGACAGGGTGTGAAGCGGTGAGTTTAGGCCGCGGAGATTCGTGGAAATCCGGTCAGTGTGTGCAGAAGTAGTCCGTCCGCGTCCAGAGCCGCTGAGCAGAGGGACGCTTCAGACCACAACGAGAGGGAGTTTCACTCTCTGTGTATGTCTCCGCGGTGATTCCAACTTGGCTTCCTCCCACTACCACAGTGAGAGTTCTCTACACCAGGATCAATGACAGACACACAAAAGATGCGGGTTCCGGTGTAGATCTTCAAAATACATGCACCGCTTTATAACGTAAATTGATTTATATGAAACAAAACAAGTAAATTATTGTTGTATGATTTTAATGTTATCATAAGCAGATTTAACACACCTTGAAGAAAGTTGTCAGCTACAGCAAATAGAGGCACACACAATCTTATTAATAAAAACGTTATTATATTAATACCGCTACTACTATTATTATAAACGGGCATAATAATATATTATTATTACGTGCATCTAAAATTATGTTTATATTATTTACCCAGGGAATGTGTTTGTGTAGTGATTAACCGCTTATATCTTATAACACACAATTATCAAGTTGACCCGGTTCTTCAAAACTTAATTACCACAATTATTGTAAAAAAAGGATGTGACTTTCGGAGCTTACTGACTTTTCTTAGTTATTTGATATATAAACTTGAACCTTATTTTACATTGAAATCCCAACGCCTAGGTAATTTTCTTCTGCGCTTTATCGTGAATTCTCACTGCCAGCTTCCTGTGAGCGTACCTGACCCGGTAAAACGAGTACAACACTGCGACCTGCTGGTTAAACCCGAAACTACACCCACAACTGCAAATACTTTAGCATAAGTTCTGAAGATGTAACGCGTAAAATATACTGCAGGGGAAATTACTCTCACTTAAGTTGATAGCTATGAATAAAATATAAAATACACTTGATGGTTTGTGTTACAGTATAGTTTTAAATACTACAGACACCGTCACAGCTAAGTCACATTTTCTAAATAAAGTATTTTGAATAAAAACATTGTTTGGGGGATGATTAAATATGTAATTACACTATATAGGACCAGCATAATAATAATTATTACTGTCATTATGCCTTTTGATTATAAAGGCACACTGTAAACACAAACACACAAGGACACTACATACTAAGAAAAAAAAAGAAAAAAAAATCTGAAATCAAGAACATTGGGGACAAAATAGGATAAAATATAAATCAAAAACAGTAATCAGTGACCTAGTAGATTATTAAGCATAGCAACTTCTTAAGAAAGCAGTCAAAGAAGGTAATAAAATAGTCTTAAGGATAATAAAATGGAGAAGGATTAGGGACATTCAAACCAACATCAGTGCCATCACACAACACTAATTACAAAAAAACACAACGTTGCAGTCGATTTATTTCTAAATTAAGGTTCAACAGCAGATCTTATTCATTTCAATAACATACAGTATGTGACATTATCACCAGATCCAAACAAATATACATTCAAAACTTACAATAAAATATGAAACGTCGATCTTTACCCAGTAACCTGTTTATATTTATTACATATTGGATCAATTACATTTCAAAGATTTTAAAAACACAATAAATCATTTAGACATTCCATTTCTTTTACGTAGTGTCGCTAAAAATAAATGTGAAGACAAGAAACAGCCGTCTGAGAATTGTGCAAAAATCTATTATAATCACGTCATAGAGATCTAGGAGTAGGACACGTCCACGCCACTGTAAACAACATGAGGAGATCGCCTTAGCAGAAGAGTGTTGTATGGCACCAGAGGTCATTCAGGCAGACTGAACCAAGGTCAGCTCTGTAGATCCTTTATATACAATCATAGCTTTGTCATGGCTGTGCTTTTCACCACACAAGTCTATTGTCAAAAAGCTGAAGAAGTTAAAGCAGCGTCATCAAATCAAATCATTTTCCAAAACCTGGTACAAAACAAAAAAACTTTATCTATAAAAAGTCAAATGATTCAGATATTTCACCCTGTTTCCCAAAGCTTTACCCAACACCTGACAATTTAAATCTCTATTGAGCCTTAATGAGAAATGTTCATTTACATTAAAGATTTTCTGAAAACCTAAAACTGAATTAACATTATTTTTTTTACATTGAAGAAAAAAAAACATATATACAAGAAAAAAAAGTCAACTTAAATTGATGTAAAGATGATGACGCCGGCACTGGTGACATTGTGGAAAGAAAAGAGGTCAAAGTGCAGCACACATTTAGATAATGATGAGTTCAGGAGGAGGAAATAACAGTGTGTCAGTGGAAAACCAAAGGCAGCGATCAGGCTTCAAAACTAAAAACAAAACTACATGGAAAAAAAATCAATGTATTTTTGGGTCAGACTTTGACAAGCAGTGAAGGTGTTAGTGTGTGGGCAGACGCCATCTGGTAGTGTTGATGAGGAGGATCACGTGACAAAGAGCCAGAAGGAGAAGCATCCTTGGTCTGGTGAACAGACGGGCTGATGGGACACGGCTCAGTTTCCAGAGTAGAGGTTGATGGTGCTGGAGCTCAGGCCACGGCTCTCCCTGAAATTACTTCTGCTCCGAGCCTGGGAGACACAAATTCAGATGTTTCATGAGGCATTTGTTAGTGGGAAATATGAGTTAACTAATATAAAAAAAACTGTTCATCACCTGAAACGGATCATCACTGGATTTGTTCAAGTAGTTCAAGGAAGCAGCTCGCTTCATGCTGTTGAAAGATTGTTAACAGTTAACAGTGACTCTATGCTGGTTTGTTGTTTAGTCAGTATCTGATAGTCACTGACATGTCAGTGTCTCCAACAGAGCAGGATGAACTGACTGAATCGATGTATTAGCCATGAATGTACGTTTTGTCCATTCACAAACATTACATGGGGGAGCAAATAAGACAGAAGAACCACACATGGCCCAAGAGCCTCATGTTGCAGACCCTTGTACTGAACTAACAGTGTTGAACATAATGCATCAAGGTAGAAGAGAAAGATTAAAACCCAAGAGAAGATTAAAGGATTAAGGAAGTTTAAAAAAAAAACTAGAATACAAAGATATGCCGACTGTCTCCAGGAGTCTTTCAGATCTTACTTGGTGCTGCGGGGTTCCGGTGGAACATTGCCCTGTAATTTCTTCACTAGGAGCTCGCTGCTGCGACGGATGACGTCCCTGAGTTTCCCCAGAGAGCCGCTGCGCTGCAAGGCTCCACTGCCATCCTACAGATACACACACACACACTCATCAACCCATCACACCTGCACACTTAGAACAAGAATACATGTCTGTATCAAAAATACTTTTTTTATTGTTTTTTTTTCATGTAGGAGTGTAGAAAATATACCTTTATTAAAATGTGAAGTAGAAAAGGTAGAAATCAACACACAAAGATCTTGATAAAGGTTTAAAATGATTATAGTGATAATTGTACCTGGCTCATCATTAACATCCAATCTAATGATTTAAATAATTTATTGAAACCACACGTGCGCAAGTGACCCATATATGTGTTTATGTATATATGTACATATATAATTATATGTGTGTATAATTTCTACCTAAGATCCATTGTTTAATATCTGTTTGTGTGTAGAACACAATGTATGGAAGAATTCTAATTATTGAGTTTATAATTAACTAAATTTAATTGGGGTATAAAAACCACAACTTTATTTCAAAGGAGATTGATAACAAATAAATGACAACTGATTCATTTTGTTTATAAATGTTTCCTTAGTCCAAGTCCGAATCAGGTATCACGTTTTTTAACACCTCAAACCCCAAAACACATTGGTTAAATGTCATGATTATGTTTATTTACATTTTGTCATGAATATACTTGCAGTATCCTACATCTGTTTTTACCTGTCAGCTAATATTTTGAGGGACTTCTTTATATATTTGTGCTGACAAAATAAATAGCTTTCTGTTTCCAGATGATGGGCTTACAAACCAAATCATTTGTTCTTTTGCCCTTTATGTGTTAACAGTATCACTAGTTCAGTTGTATCTAAAAATACTGATATTTTACTGTGAAAAAATGTCTACTCCAAGCCCTTTTCGAAAGACAAAATTGTTTGCAGGAGTACGTATGCAGTGTAGCCTAATCTCCAGTAGAGGGAACTGCAGATGACTCAGAAGCTTTAAAGCTCCATTTCCAGAGATGATACCAGTGAACAATCGTTTTCTCCACACACAGTGTCACACTGACACAAAAATGTCAAACCGACATGGAAAAAAGACAAAACTCCACCAATGAAAAATTTTATTCGAGGATACCAACAAGTGTTGATGCAATAATCTTCACAATGCAGTATGGTAAATATGATGCAGTCCTACGATAGTGCTTAAAGACCTTAGCATGTATGTTCTTTTATTTTAAGGAACTGAAGCCACACTATATATCCATATATATGTATGTCAAGAATAGACAGTTCAATAAATAAGCATTCCACTAACACAACAATATTGTGAGAACTATGTGAAGGGAACATAGTCAGTAATTTTGTTCAGAGTTGCATTAGAAGTATAGATGTACTCGCTGCAAGGAATGAAGAGTCAAGGCAAGTAGCAGAATGAGAGCGAACGCACTTGTCAGATCTATGAATACAGCCGATGATACACTTCCAAGATGTTAAAGTCAGTTTACAATCAGTTAGTCACACGTCTGAAAAAACACGATCTTCAGGAACGACTAGCACTGTACTTTGGTGTCTAAAAAAAATAAAATTCATAATTCACCAAAAGGACTAAGGTCAATCGCGAGCGACGGTGTCAGAAAAGGCAGAACTTGTTAAGTTTTGAATATAATGTCCATGTCCAGAGCGCTTGCTGTGACTGTACCACCAAAATATTCACTAATACACACTAAGACTACAATAAAGTTCCACTGAATTCTAACTTCACTCATACGTCAGAACCAAATAAAAGCACGGCACTCTTCTCCATTAATTCAAAACGTTTTACTAAAGCTGTCTTTCCACTCACAGGGATGGGCATTGGTTGACCGTTTGCATTTTTGCTCATTCGCAGTTTAATTTAATAAAACTGACCGACAACTACATCTGCTTTTAAAGTTGTGCCATATTACTGCCTATTATCTCCTGGCTTTAACTTAGAATATTAATTATATAGCATACATAGGTTTGTTTTTTTGTTTTTTTAATGGACGCATCTCTTGGGTTGCAAACTGTGGTTTCAAAAAGAAAATCTTGAAGGTAACCCTGAAAGCGATGCATGTGTTTAGGATGTAACTTTGTACCTTGTAAAAATACAACAAAAAACTACCTGGATACATAGCTGTCAATTTTAACATCTCTTCTTGAATACCTAATTAAAAATGTGATTTCATCTGAACAGAATTTTCTGGAATTAGTCATTACCTGTAAAGCTGATGATGCATCTCAGATGTAGGACATCAAAAGTTATTTCTCAGTGAATGTTTATAAAATATGTAATCTTATTCATGTTTGTAAATTACCATTTGCTCCAAAACCGCACTACAGAAGCTTCCTAATCTTTAAACACTATATTAAACTGTTTCACTGTTGTAAGCAGGCAGCTATGTTTTAATGCTTATATACGGCCTCTGCATAAATACAGAACAAACAAGAGCCTCCATCCCAAAGAGTGTAGCTGAGGACGACTCCACAGGCTGAAAGGCTGAATCATTTGAAGGATATGTTTTTATTAAACTTGCTCATCCCTCTCCAGTCCCTGCTGTCACTCTGCCTTTACTGCTCCAGCTGCTGTAAATTACTGTCTCTGTACATGTGAGCCTGGCTCTGTGTACACACTGCAACAGAATATGAATAAGCCTAAACTGAACCAAGGACACTGTAGCTACTGCGAACTACCTGAAAACAAATCGCTATGGCAACCAGAGCTTGCTGTGATCTGACCAGTGTGCCGCCAGCTTTGGCCTGAATAGTGCTGAGAACATGTGGTCATTCACAGCAGGTTAAACCCTATGGCACTGGTGACGCACTAATGCCTTTATAATCTGCAACAAAACGACAAAGTAATTCGATGTAAACAAAAATCATACAAAAAAGTTAAATATTTATAAAAAAAAATCACATTAAACTCCCTTCTATTCTACTGCTAACTAGTTTTATAACAATTTGTTGTAAATAGCTCTCTTTGCATTTTAAAATTTACAGTACCTTTTCCTAAATTCTGTAGGCATTTGATCTGAGGCTTGACTTCATACTTAAACCACATCAACCGTTTGTTAAAGATTTACATAATAAAAAGACTAGGAACATATTTAAAAAATAAAACAAATCAGAAAGAAATATGCAAAGGAACTGTGTAAATGACCTCTGTATAATATTCAGTCTTTTATCGGTGAGTGTGTAGGAGTGATTCCTGGAGTCTGAGCTGCTTCCCAAACTCACTATGATCGTAATATCCCAGCATTCCCCTCTATATTCAACATTTCAGCCTACACTGACCTTCTGATCCCGCCATATAAATATACAATGCACATATGAAAAATTACAAGCAAGTTTTAGGAAGAAGATTACATACGTGACTATTTGAATGCTTACGAGACTCAGAGCTGAAGTAATGGATTTTAAAATGAAGGACGATACAGGGTTAGTGAGAGGAAAGAGACAGACAGTGAGAGAAGCAGCAGATGAAGAAGAAGACTAAACGTCCCAGCAGTGGTCAGTCGACTCTCTGAGTCTCTGTCGGAGGGGGGCACCGGTAATGGTAGGAGAGCTGTTGGACTGTTGGGACAGAGAAGGCCAGAGGGAACGACAACACACATCCTTTTGCTATTGTGTTGGGGAAGGAGAGAAGGATGGAGGAATAATCTTGATGGCTTAGGCCTGATAAAAGAGAAGAGAGAGAGAAAAGAGACAAAAAAAAAAACAGCACAAAATGTAAGACAGAGCTCTACACAGCTGCAGATCTAAAGGGCTCCTCTCATCTACTAGTTTCAGAGGTTTTTATTATTATTATTAATTACAGTTAAATCTTTGAACTTTATTTAAAAGGAACAAATGCAGCAGCAGGAGAATAAATTGTTTAAAGAGCTGCACAACCAAAAAGAAGCAGGTCACTGATGCAGTGAGTCGGCGGCTGCAGTCAGTGACTCAACTGTTTTTCTTTCCTCTCTTGGTACCAAAAAAAGCACCGGCTTGGCACAGTGCACCCGCCCAGTGACTGTGCACTGCAGACACGAGGCATCTGCAGGTGTCAGCGCTATAATCTGTATTCGCATAAGGCCTCTATCAATCTGTGTAAAAGACTAGTTTTGATTTAAATTTAAAAAGTGAAAAAAAACAACAAAAATAATCCACAATCCACCTACAAAATGATATTTGTGAATGGTAAACTAGTTTTCTTGCCCTTTGATAAACACTCCTAAAGTTTTTTGTGTAGACTGAGAAATAAAGAAGGAGAGTACAATCCACTACGTGAGAAAAAGAAGTTTGGTCGACAGGCTGATTGGTTGTCGTGGCACAGCAATCAATGTGGAAGTAAGTTAGTCACACAAAGAGAAGGAAAAAAACAGGCAAAGAACAAAATCTAGAAGACATGCAAACAAGCAGGCAGCGAGAGGAAGTCAAGGACAGACAGCACAAAGTTTTTAACACTATTACACAAGTCACATTGTATGGTATATGACTGACACTACACAGAAGACCTGGTAAACATGACTCTCATCTATGTTCACTGGTTAAACACAGACTGAAAACATCCATCTGATAATTGAATATGTAAAATAACGCAGCCACAGCCTCCTTGACAGGGAAGCAGCATGAAGACGGGTTAAGGCAAAGCTCTGCGGTTACATCAACTCACAGGTGAACATAGAAACAAGCCCACAGCGTAGAACAAGCAATTTACCCTGTTATTTTAAATTTCTTTATTTAGGCCTTCATTAATGTAATAAACTTAACAATAGTATTATGATACTCTAATTAATAATAGTTATAATAATAAATATATAATAATAAAATAGTATTACAGTAGTAATATATAATGTATTCTCTCTTTATAGAGAAAATAAAATATAATACACACATTCTTAAGAAATACTAGCTCTCTGCACAAACTTCAGTCATTTTAAATGTCTGTGTAAATGCATGTTTCAAAGACAAGTGCACGCTTGGATACATACACTTGGCAATGTGTTTTGCTTGAGTGCAGGGGTTTGAGTGGCTGTGGTATGCACATGGACGTGTGTGTGTGTGTGTGTGTGTGTGTGTAAGAAAGCGTATTAACTGCAAACAAACTCCTACCCTTTAACGTGAAGTTACGCACTCAGAGAGCAAGTAACGCACACCAGGTGTAAGGACGTTTGTCGACCATGTGAAAGCACGACAAATACACATGGTCCATTAGTGTGCATTAGTGAGCACAGGCTGGCACTGTTACATGCATGTTGGTAAAAGGCGTGGCGGTACTTAAGAGAAGGGAGAGGCACAGGCTGATCTGAGGCAGCTCTGCTGGCACAGTCCTGCTCTGCTCCGGCTTTATATAACCACTGCCACAGGGCTTTCTTCAGGCTGGGAAACAGCTTTAACAGAGGCCACTTGATACAAAATGTCAGCATGTTTCATCACTGAGTGACCAATCAGAAAAGTGGACCAATGTCCAAAAAGAGTGTTGATCTGAGAGAAAGGCTGAGGAGACATTATGATGAGGCTATAAAACAGCAGAGGATAATGTTGGATTTAAAAAACAATCATCCTGCAGGGCAGTGCTTTAAGCCATATTTAATGGTAGAAATGTGCATTTAACAATTAATTTAAGGGGGTCTGTCATTCAGACAAAAGCTAATGGACATTACTGTATTAATGCCAAGCTACTACAGTACAACCCTGTGCCTCGTTTCTCTTCCCTCCTTGTGTGTAACAAACATTGTCAGTAAAAATCTTACTGAAACAATGTGGTTGGATGACACAGCCAGACAATTAAAACATACAAATGTGGACCAGAGCAAGCTGAGGCAAAAACAAAAACAACAAACCAACATGCCCAGACACTCAATCAGCTTCACATTTGTGAATGTAAGGAAGAACTTAGTACTGTAGTACTCTACAGGGAGCTAATGGACAGGTGCATCCTCAGAGAACTGGGAGAAACGGTATTTTAGTACTCAAGTCTAGGACTCATGACTCCATTAACTGTAAAGAATGGGATACCAGGTTTTTGAAACTAAATCTTTCCTAAAATGGATTCAGTGATCTTGAAACCCCAAGACTAATAATGGCAATTTCTGGCATTGAATTTGAAACCTGGTATTAACCTACAGGAACTCAGCGTGTACTCAACTCTTCTTCTGAACTAATGAAACCTAAACATTTTTAAGCGTACCGTTTCTCATACAGTGTCAAAATGAATTCTTCACAATTTGGTGTTTTTCTATTTAATCAGTCCTTTTACGAAGGAAAGGATTTTAAGTTAAAGGGTTTTGCTTTATTTTTGAGACATGCACCAGTCCAAACTCTCTGTGATGTTATTATTCTGTTCCTCCAGTGAGGTCATTTAAGTTGACTCAGTCATAGTGGATTTGTACTCACCCCATTCCACTCCACGCCCATACTCACTTCCTCGCCTGTCTCAGAGCCACTCTCATACTTAACGCTGGTCAGACTGTCCCGGCTCCTTCGTCTCTCGCCCTCTCCATCCTTCAGAATCTCCACCACACGTGTCTGGTGGATGGGGTCAATGCCCTGGTGGTAGAACAAACAAATAAAGGTTGTTATATTTAGAGGACGTGAGATTGTGGGTGTTAGCTGGTTGATGTGGGTGAGAGTGCACAGGTATGTGGTGGAATTGAATGTGGTTTTATGTCAGTTCCTGCCTTTCTTGGTGGACTGACTGTTGTGTTAGCATCACAGAGACAAGGCAACATTAGAAATGGCGATGTCAGAGGTTAGGGGAGAGATGGTCTATTGAGGCTATCAGAGACAAAACACTTACTGTGTTGCTCTGGATCCATAGCAATGTAGACAAAAGGAAAGAAATAACATGAGATCTGCTGCGTTTAACAGGATAGAGATATCAAATCACACAAAAAACAGGAACTATTATGGGCTGTTTGCATGCATAAAGGACCATTTCCAGGTAGGAAATGCTGCTGACCTGCTTGCGAGACCTCACTGCGCACTCTTCCAGGGTATCAGCGGCCTCCAGTTTACCCTGTCGACGGTACAGAGCCCCCAGGTTCCTCAGGGTGGTGTTAACTGTAGGGCTGGAAAATAAAGATGCAGAGTGGCAGTAATGAAGGACAAATTAATAAATACAATAAATCACCATTCTATTATTGTTCACCTGCTCTTAAATACAAATACCAGTCTATGCTATTACAGGAAGTAACATGACACACACACAGACGTTGAATGTTAAAGCAAATTGGTTAGAGCAGTAGAGGTTCAAATTTAAAACATAACTTGTCTTCAGGTGAGAAGGACCAACTTGTCTTCAAATGTAATTAAACATAATATAATCTATGATTAGATAGAACATTCCCACATTAACCAAAGATTAATTCACTTTGGTCCAATCACTGGCATGGCAGGTCTATTATCAAGCTATAAAAACAACACACACCTATCCGTCTCTGACTCACCTGTTTACTTTGCAGGCCTTGTACCAACCTCCATACTCCCCATAAGGAGTGTTGTCTCTATGCTTGCCCTGGAAGTAAATAAGGGAAAAAAGGAAGAAAAACACGTGAAGGGGGAGTGGTGATTTGAAATAGTTCAGCAGCATTTTCCCTTTGTTTACACAGAACTCTCATTTGCAGAATGTACCCGTTATGTCCAGGACAATGTTAAGGACAAGATAACAGTTCGCTTCCCAGGAAAACAACTAAACTGCTTTTCTTATTTACCAACACTTCAGTGTGTGGGAAACACTTTTGCTTAACTTAATATATATTTAAATTTAAACCCTCACCTTACTCATCTCCTCTCTTTCCTCTGCATGCATCCAGATTGGTTTGTTCTCAGCTGAAGGGAGACAGACAGAAGAGGTAGTGTATACAACAGAACTGGAACAGGGCTAATTTTACTAACAAATGCTTCACTGTCAATAAAAAATATATTTAATGTATTTAAGGTCCAAGAAACTTAGAGTTGTATTAAAACCAGACAGAAAAATTACCATCTTACTATGATGAACCGCAGTTTGTTTGGATTGCACTTTCACCAAACGGTTAGGGCAATAATCATAATCATAATAATAATCTAGCATTATAAAATGGACTTTGTGTCTGAATTAGATTGGAAAACTTCAGTCACAATACATCTATTTTACTTAATATTTAATAATATAACCACTGTAATTATTAAGATAACGGAAAGACTGAAAACCTGCATAAACTGAATCTAGACATTAAAGACATGTAGCTGATTATCTAATTATCTAAGTACACAACTAACACAGTTACACTATTAAAAATATATAGGTAATATTTCTAAAGACATGGCACCTGTACTGTAAAAACAATTCTGCACAATTGTGACCTACAACTCTCCATTTGTGAACATATAATTAAATATATATTTGTACAAAGTGTGAATAAACAAAAGACAACTCTTTAGACAGATTTCTGACAGAAACATGAAACCATTGTGGTAAGTCACTTCTACTTTGAAAGTACAGAAAACTGCCTGCAAAAAAACGTCACTTTCGCATAAAAAACAGAGGAAATAGAGTGAGGTATTTTTATTGGTTTTTTTTTTCAGACAGGTAAAATCTTTATTCCTTTGTTTATGTAAATAATTTACTGAGTCCTCTGAACGTAGTATGTTGGCGTCCTGCTTAGAAAACCGTCCACTTTTTGACCATCGGTCCATCTCTGACTCTGCTCACTGTTGTGAGACAACAGTAGGTATCATATCAGATGATAGAAGAAAGGAAATACTTCTTAAAAGTGTTTTACTAATCTTATAAAAACAAAACCCTCCACCAATCAAGAAAATTAGATGGATTAAAAAAAACATGCACTCCTATACACTATATAATGTAAAAAGCAGTTTTTTTTCATGATGCCTTACCATCAACAGACCCAAACTCTTTCTCATGAGCGCGAGTCAAAATCTCTTTGTACAGAATCTCAGCCTCCTTGTATTTGCCCTGTTTGAGGAAACAGGATGCCTACAGACAAAAGGAAGAGAGAAAGGGACATTTTTATGATGGATTATAACAGCTTATTGACTCAATGTGACCCTGAAGACAAGGTAAATGATCCTCCTGCATTTCTTTTTTCTTCCGAGGGCTGGTGGAAAAAAGCAAAACAATTTAGCTCCACAGGGACTGCAGTTATTGTCAACGTACAGTTCCATCACTGTTGGGACTGGATTGAGGCAGCCGCATATTAAGCTTAAAATAAAAAATGAATCAAAAAGATAAAAAGAAACCGTCCCAAAAAAACATTAAATTGCTTTATTGAAATTGCTTAATTTTATACTGTCATTTATTCAAATGTAATTTAAAGCAATCAAAGTTAATATCTTGTGTTGAAAGAAAGATTAATGGTGTGAATACAATATAAGTGTGTTTGTGTACAGTAGGATGGACAAAACACAGAGCACACATTGATATGGTGTTGATGAACCTCTCTTACCAGATTGTTCTTAGTTTTGGCCACATTGGGATCATCAGGGCCAAGCCTGCACTCGTAGATCTCCAGAGCGCGGCAGTAGTAATATTCCACTTCCTCATACTTGCCCTGGTTCTGACAGAGCAGGGCCAGGTTATTGAGTTGTTTGGCCACATCTGGATGATCTTTCCCCAGGACCTGATGGTCAGAAGAAGGTTTAGAATAACCCTGTCATTTTTAATCCATTACATCAGTGATGTCTTCCTTTTTCTTATCTCGATGTGTATCTAAAACACCTTGACGGTAAAATCTTCAAGGACAACACCAAAAATGACTTCATTACAGGATAACTGTTCATTGGTTGAGGCTCAGTTTAGGTTGTATGATCAGGAACTGAGGGACATGTCCTACCTTCTCTCTGATCTCCAGAGCCCTCTTACACAGAGGCTCAGCTTCCTTGTACTTCCCTCTCTTTCCATACAACACAGCCAAGTTGTTCAGTGTCGCAGCAACCTAGTTACAAAGACAAGAAATATCTATGATGAGACTTTTTATTGACAGATTTACCTTTATATACAGTAAAACTGTAGTTCTGACAAGCAGTATTCAAGCAATTGTGTCATGGAATCATTGGACCCTTACGGCAGGATGATCCTTCCCCAGTGTTTTTTCACGGATAGACAGAGCGTCATTGAGAAGATGGGCCGCCTCTTTGTACTTGTTCTGATCCCTAAATGTGTCAGAAAAGAACAGAATGAAGAGATGACATAGAACCTTTCAAGTTCTTGAACAATAGACTTCCAACAACCAAGTAACAGTAGAAAATTTAAACAGGGTTGACTGGGTCTGTCTGACCTGTAGACCAAAGCCAGGATGTTAAGCATAGTGGCCACATCAGGGTGGTCGTGGCCCGAAGTCTTCTCCAGATCCTCCAAAGCCTGTTTGCAAAGGGGCACTGCCACCTCGTACCTGCCCTGAGAGGCATACTGGATCACCAGGTTGTGGAGGGTTCTCAGACGGGCTGGGATCTCATAGCCCCCCTGCTGGGCAGCGGCAACAGCTGCACTGTTATGTTGGTGCTGCACTGTGGGGGTCAGGGATGGTAAAAAGGTCACTTTGAGTGTCCATTAGTGCATATGCAAGTTAAGAAAGACAAAGTATTATACTCTTTTTATTTATATATATATATATATATATATATATAAAGAGTATAATACTCATAAAATGATAGAATCATAGATAACGCTGTCGTTCTCACTTCCTTGTCCGTGATCCTCTTCATCATTCGGGAAGAGGTCATCCAAAGTATCTTTTGGTGCTTCGCGGTCTTTCTCCTCCTGCTACAAAGATAAAACGAGATTTAGATTCAGATCCTCACCAGAGAAAGATAAACAGAGATTTACATACATAACGGTTTGATTACATCAAAGACAAAGTGTGAGATTAAACCTCCGGGTATTGTTACTATGACAGCATAATTATATCAAAGTTGAGGTCAGCACTGATCATAAGAGTGTGTAACAAGTGGAAAGAAACAATGAGATCATAGTGTTAGTCATCTCTTTCCTTTGTTAAGCAAAAAGCAGACTCCTTTTACATTTCCCTGAATAAGTGTCATCATTAATATGATGTAGGAGGAAAATTGCATGGTGATCAGTTTCCCCTGGATGTGTAGGGCTTAATCAAAACAGACATAATCTCAGACATCATAATCTCACATCATATTTGTTCAGTTAATGCACATTAACACATTAGCTTTGCTTATTTGAACCATAATCTGAAAAGTAAGGCATGCAGTAATTTTACATACTTTCTGTTTAATGTGATAAATGAGATTTCAGGATCACATGGGGCCATCATTTTTTTTTATTGAAGTTTTCTGTGATAGGTTTAGACAGAACATCCATTCACGAATGACAGTCTTTATCTAAATAACCCCAGAACAACTTGCATAACAAGCAGAGATTCACTCGTGTCATAAACTGCCACTGTGTCAACGTTCCTTCAAACACACCAACCTTAAATTTAGAATTTCACATTCCTAGTTTTATTTCAGACACACCGCTATTTCTTTGTTACAATTTCTTCTTAGTTTAATATTCAATTACTTCAAACACCGCCCACCCCCCCAAAAAAAACAAAAAACGCATACACATGTAATGAGGTAAAATTCCAGATGCCTTAATGAGTGATTTGTACTTACGGTGGGTGATACATCCTCATCGTATTTTTTGAGCTCGTTCATGAATTCCAGATGTTTCTTCTCCTCCTCCAGCTGAGCTACGCTCTGCTCGCTCTTCTGCAGCTTCTGCTGGGTGTTGGCCAGCTCATCCCGTAGCCATTGGTTTTCTTGGCAAAGCCTCCTCACCTGTGCGCGCAGCTTCTGCTTCTCAGATTCCACAGCATTCAGGTGGTTGGACAGAGCCATCATCACCTGTGACAAGGAAAAATTTAACAGCAATGACTTTTACAGAGGTAATATTCGTGAGTGGTGTTAAAGCATGTCGGGGCTCAGGCCTGCTAAGAATAAATGAATCATAGTCACAACACAAGCTCACTATAAAATAAGGAAGCTCTAAAGAAGCAGAACTGACCAAAAGCACAGTCATAGCTCCTGTACAAAGACTTGTACTTCTTTTATTATCTTACCTGTGCTTCTCCCAGACCCAGTTCGATCATTTCCACCGACTTGCGGAGCAGGTTAGACTTCTCATGCACCAGGTTGGCCTCCTCATCTTTCTTCAGGCACTTGATCGTCTCAAGGAGGCTATGGAGGATGGAGTTGTGCTCATTTTTCAAGGCCTCAAGACCCTGGATGACTAGCTTTGTGTTGGAGATGATCTCCTCCTGAGAGAGCTTCTCCAGCTTCTCTTCCCTTGGATACACCATGGTGGACATCATCTATATAGCCCAGGGACACCTGTTCAGAAAAAAGATAGACTTAGAGAACAGAAATGAATGGACGCCGACGACGAGCTGAAGTTTAACAGTGTAATTCAGGAAACTGAAGTCAAAGTGATATACGTAGGTCAATGGCAAATGTTACAACATTCTGCTAATGCAACTCCCTTCAGGTACTGTATTTGCATCTTCTACTTCCTATTTAGTTTTAACTTAACTAAAAATACAACATAAAATATAAGATAATACAAATAAAATACACTATACAGCTATTCCAATTTGAATGAGGTTTTCATTTTGTTTCCGCATGCTAGAGGGCCGTTATTTTCTCCTCCTCTCCTTTGAATTATCCTAACAGGTTTTTATTCTTTATACACTCTGACTGTAACTTGGACTGAAAATAACAGAGAAAGAAACAAAATAACATATCGGGAGGGACTCACTTTTACCAAAGGCTACCAGGTTAATTTCTTAAACTGTGTTTAAAAATAAAGCAACATAATTGCCTAGAACTGTAAGGACATGTTATTATAGGAGGGCATGCTGTGATTTGGTACCTATGATATACTCTGATTGGTTGTTTGACCACAGCTTTTAACGTGCTGCAGGGCACACATATGCTATAAAGAGACAGCCCTCTGGTACCAAAATGTATCCAAACAGAGGCCTTGCTGGCAGTATGAAGTCACTGAAGAGTCACCAGGAGAATAAGGTAACAATAACAGCCATAGAGCCACAGCTGCTGGTAAAGAGGAAAATGTTATGTCTGCATTTTTACCAGTGCACGGAACAAGTTCAGCTTTACCCAAACAGTCTGAAGAAGAACGATGACTCATTGAGCCATGGTACTGTAAATGACAGTACAAAACACTAACTTGCTCCTACAATTGAACTCCAAACATAGGGTTTGTCTCCATAGTGTATTTAAGCAGCTTAGATGAGAATGAAAGGTTAGTGATGAGGAGGCTCACAGCAGCCAACAACAGCAGAACGTAAAGCAAATATTTTCTTTTAAGTATTTAGGTTATTTTTGTTGATGAAGGTATACATCTTCAGAGTTAAAACCGTATTAAATCAACCAACAAATGAGTAATCAATATGCCAAGGGTAACTACAGGAGGAAATCAATTTGACAAATAAAAATGAGAAATACAGCTATTTCCTTATTTGCTTGCATCTCTAAACGCAGTCTCTTTTTAATGTCTTTGCTGCACAGTCCAAGGTCATCTTTGTAGCAAATCAAACTTGGTCTGTTACTGACGTGTAGTAATTAGACACCCATCACTCACGCACGCCACACCAAGTAATCACAGCTGGCTCTGTCAGTCTTGATGATGTTAGTGTACTTTATGATATAGAGTAGACAAGCCATCTGGTTGTCAGTCAGTCAGTCTGTATAAAAGCTTTTACCAGGATGACAGTGGAGCCTAAAGCCGAAGGCCTCAGTCAGCAGAGCAGCAGTGATAAATTATAAAAAAATCTGGCAGATGACATGTTTATCATCTTTATACGCGTTTCCTTTCCAAACGTTCTCATTTGAACGGCAACCCTCACTTGATTTTAACGAATCTACACACTTTACTTACAGAAAGAAAACTAGTCATGCATAATTCACAGAGGAAGTGGAGATTATCGATTATTGTATTATCTTACAATAATAAATGGAGGGTGTGTATTGAGTTGCATGCGCATGCTAAGAACAAACTGACTAGAAGGCTTTCAGTCATCCCCTACAAAAGGTACATAAGAGGAAAAGGTGTGATCAGTCAACTTAGCCTGCATGATAACAAGTAACAGAATAACTAACACTAAAGACAAACACTCACAGTAACAGAGGAATTAACACTTAAGACAAACACCAGAGAAACACAGAAAAGATACAAAAGTGCACTGAGACAACATACTAAATTAATTAGCCAATAAAACAAATTAATTCCAGTCAGTATGTCAATCCAAAACAAAGCTTCGTCCATTACACTGCAGCACAAACTAAATGTTGATATTACTGCCGCTATTATACAATATGTCTGTAATAGATGGCTGATGTTTTAACATTATTTCGGTATGAAGGCGTAGTGTTTTATAAATCAAGACAGGAACAACCCTCACAAGATAAGGCATGAGAACAGACTGGTACCTGAAAGACTTCCTGGAATAAAAGCTAACACCTGCTCTGAATAAAACATGAAAGAAAAAAAAAATCAAACAACTCATTTACGGTTACTCACAGTCTCAGCTGTCTCAACACTTCTGTGGATGAAATCCCCAATAAATGCTGCTTTTATGTCAGTCTCTGGAGAAAAGCTGCTTTCTCTTGAAAAATAATTTACATATTCACCTAGTAGTGGACACTAATGCTTTTCCCAAACAGACACAGTTAATATTTTCCAGGTTTTTAACGTTGTGTGATAAAGTCCAACATTCCAGTTATTTTTTTGACTTAATATTTAACACCTCTGTTTGCTTCATACACCTCAGTTTTATGCAAATGAAACCTGTGGGAAGAGTGGGAGACTAAAACACAGGGATCATGTTTGTGACAGTCACAAGTCACAGTGGTTGTGAAATAAGTCTTTATGGTGCCTCTGGTTCAATATAAAATCAAATGACCCAAACTGCTGACCATGGAAAAAGCACAACTGAGTTGAAAATGCTGCACATTATTTCAGCCTGAGCTCTTATCCAAATCCCCTCGTGATCACGTTAAAAGAATGATTAGGATCAGACAAGGTTAAGTCAGGCAGTCACCACTAATCAGAAAAAAACAGTTCTTTAAACAAGGAAAAACAAACAAGTGGTAGAGATATCCTTCAGTCTCCAGCATAACATGACAGTTTGATATACATCCATTTAAACGTCCCTGCAGTTTACGCATTCAGCTCTCTGTGAAAATTGGGATATACCATTCCTGACCCTTATATAGTTCTCTACCTTGGGCACATGGAAGAACAAGATTATGTTGGAGGATCTTCATGATCTCTAGAAAGAAGGCCATAGAACTAGCTCAAGACAATAATACTATATATGCCGTAAAGGATTACATACACGTTGACATTGAAGGAAGAACTAAATATCAAAGACTCAGAAAAATTGTTTTCATAGGTAAAAGAGCAACAATAAGAATATCAATATTATAATATTGATTTCTCTCTACACAGGTGCTTTTCTTTTTTCAATTGTTTGTTATAATTTTAAATATAGGTTGTATACAAAACATTTCTGCATTTTACAGCTTCTAACAGAAGTAAGAAAAATTATAAATTAAAATGTCTTTTGGCTTCAGTAATACAACAACATTGAAATGTTTGAATGTGTAAAAGGCAAACACTACTACGTCAAAACATCTAAAGCGTGGAGCCGTCCATCATTCATAAGTAGTCTTTTCAGCTGTTACAAATTAACAACCTGGGAACCAACCTTATTTTTGTCAGAGGATCACAGCGTCATGATTTGGCTCAGGAAAAAGCTGATGAAATAAAATTTGCTCCTGCAGCAACAGCACTACACAGCAGCTGAATGTATCATAACAGTGCAGCACTTATCCAAAAAGCAGCTCTCTGTACAAAAACCTGGCAAGTGGGAGACAGACAGGTCTCTAATGATAGAGCTATGTGGTGATGTTACAGGAAGCAGAACAGGGGTTGGTTTTCTGCAGAATGATGGTAACCTTCTCACTGCTTATTCACAACAACAAACATCAATCCAGGGCATAATTCAAAGCATAAACCCCACCCACAGCATAAGGAAAATAGAGTGCAGACAGGCAGGTCTGATGGGGGATGGGGTCAACCGCCCTGATGCAGACGGTGGTTTTATTATACCAATCAGACACAAAGGAACACACCAAATTAGACACAATATAAAAACCTGCATGACAGAGACTGTTGGCAAATGATACAATGTGTGAAAAATTCATGTATGAAGCACAAAGCTGTGGTTCCCTACATAAGCTAAAGATTTAGCACTTATAACTGTCCTGTCAGCCACGATCACACATGATCAAATCACTGGTCTCACACAGTCCAACAAACTAGCTACAAAACAAGGTTCCATAAACACATCAATGAAACATAACAAGATAACATTTTCTATACTGGAAAATGTTCTTTTATTTATAAATGATTTCTCCTTATTGACTTACATCCTTGTATCGCCTACATTAACACAGTACATTCTGATGATAAATGTTTATTGATGTTTAGTTAAATAACTCTACAAAGGCAATGTTTAATTGATGTTGTTAAATACTGTCTATTTGACTCAGTTTAGCTAAACATGTATTTCATTGACAAGTTAAAATTGTGTGGAATCAAACGTTGAAAATATTGAATGCTGAAGTGGAAAAGTAACCACAAAAAACACAAACAAATCAAAACACCAAATATGAAAGCACAATATAATGAATGATTATGCTTAAAGGCGAAACGACTGCCACTGTTTTTCTGACTCGCTTGGTTGTCCTTTGTCCTCAGTTACTGGTCTTCAATTCATATAACTAACTGCATTAGGTAATCTGTTTTCTCACCTATTCATAGGAAGATGTTGTTCGCTAATAAATATTAGTAAAAAAGCTTGAATCATTGGAAAGAATCTCTTTTCAAGTGAAGTAATGACACCTGATCTGCGCTCTGCTTCCTCTGCATAGCTGTATTTCCTGTCTGCGTCAGTGTCTGCAAAATACTTAATACTAAAATTTCTCAAAAAAAAAAAAAGGTTTTAATTTTGTTTTGTCCTAATCACTGATGAAACGCAAAGAAGAGCCTATAAAAGGAGGGTGTGGCAGGGCCTGGGACCGTGGGGAAGAGAGTGCCACTGACACTGTGCACGATCACTTCATTGAAACATCTGTGTTCATCCACTCGCGTTTGAATAAATAACACAAGTACGGTTACAGATGTTGATTAGTGTTTACCTAGCGTGAAGTCAAAACACCAAACACGAACACACAACTCTGTTTTGTTCTGTGTTTAACTTAGAGCAATGCAGATCAAAAGTCGTAACCTCAGGTTAGTTATAAAATAATGACTCGACAGAACATCTATAAGCTTGAGAAGACAGCAGCAGATAATATATACATCCATGCCAATTCCATAATGTGTTTTTCTTTAAAATGTGTTAGATATGACATAAGCACTGCAGCAATGCTCATGACTAGGTACAAAATGTATTATGATCTTCACAGTTTCACAACGTACTTATTCTAGATTTTACAATGCTACCACGCTGTGTGAATAAGTGGGTTTTGGCGTAATCGTTGTTAAGATGTATTATTCTTACATTTGATTTGCTAATTCAATTAACCTCACAATGCAAAATGCAGGTTTCGATCTGTGGCGCTCCCGTCCGCAATAAGCTAGCAGCTAACATGTTAGCATCACCACTCCCTACGTGTAACGAATTGTCCCTATAAAAACCAATGGGCTAATTGACTATATACACGACAGTGTAGAATATTATCTCGTCACATTAAAGCTACATGTTGGGTTTTAACTAAATTTCATATAAAATATTGTTATTACTTACCGAGAGCTAACACTGACGGCCACTCAGCCCCTTTAAATCCAAAATGTCTGCGATACTGCAAGGTTTTCCCAGCAGCCTCTGCGACCAAGTTGAAGGTCCATGGCGTCATGAATTGCCCCTCCTCAGTCCAATGTATATGCAGGGTACTAGTTTTTTTTCAATAAATTTAAGCTTTAACGATAACTAAATGCGGTGTCAATTTCCTTAGAATACGATGGTTAAGAGAGTTCTATTTAACATTAAAAGTTCCCTTATACGACCGCTTGATATCGCTAAATCTTACATTGTTTACTTAAGAATAAAAAGACAAAGACTTGTACGTTCCTTAAAATATTTCAAGTGAAATATTAATATTGTCATGACAGTTTATTGCCAATCAAGCAATGGCAATTTCGTGTTCTGCTCTGACAGAACACGAAATGGTCATTCTTGATTGAATACGCAAAATAAGCCATTAAAATTCGTATCCTATATTCCATTGCGACATCATGTGGCAATAAACTGTCATCACAGTTTAAATAGATTAAAAATATCTAATAATAATATTGACACATATAAAAATATACACTTATAAGAATATTAAACGACTTGTTCTGAACGCTTCTATAGAAAGTCATTCATTTTTATTATATATCAAAATGTCGGAAAAATGTAGAAATTAGCTCTACGTCATCAATAAGCGACGCGGCATGCAAGACTGTGAAGGACAGCGACAAGAACCTTAGAATGAAACACTGAAGATATACATAGTTAAATGTGAGTTTCTTGTTATTGTCAAACAAAAACACATTGCTGATAAACACTATTATAACTACCTAGTTACAGATCAAGCTAATTTATCAAAGTTCAGTTATTACCTGATTAATCCGGGCTGAGTTAGCTTTAGCTTCTGAGCACTGTCGAGTTATCCTGGATAGTACTGTAGAATGTGGTGTTGGTACTTCTAATGACATGTTTATGTAGTTACTGGTATAACAACAGTTTTAACATAAATTTCATTTAAATGTTATTTTGATTTAGAAAAAGAGAGCAAAAACGTGTGAAATCCGTCAGTAGGACGCGATGTCGCTCTCGTGTTTGACCCGAGCTCTTCGCTCTCTGACCATCTCACAGCATACACTGCTGTCCTCGCAGGTAAACATTCTCTCTAAGTAAACCATAATCATTCCCTGTACTTATACTACATGTACTAGCTTTTTTCGCTCTCGTTTAAATAGGCAGCTGTACAACGTAAGCTGGGAGCTCAAATGCCCACCACAATAGTTCAATGCAGAGGATTCCTCACCACTGTCCCTCTGGAGCAGAATAGGAAAAACTGGAAGAAGATGGAGAAGTACACCATCAGACCTATAGGAATGAAGAAGACAGGCGGCCGCGATCACACGGGTAAAGGATGTGGCAAATAAAACAAAATGGATTGGAATATTAATAGTGTGCAAATGAAATTATCTACCCTCCCCTAAACGTCATGTAACTTAAATAGACTAACCATTAAAACCTTCAGACAATTTTCAGCACAGTACAGTATATTCAGCAAATTATGTGAATGTAAATCTTAGGGGAAATGGACAGAAACAGCAAATGTTCTTCTTATTTATGTTACAATTTGCTCTCTAATTTCTAGGAAATACTTAGAAAAAGCTTATGAAAGTACAGTAGTAAGTAACTAAAGATATCACCACCAAGTTTTAAGGATAATAGTTTGTTCTTCTCTTCACGATTTAAGGAAGGATACGAGTACATGGTATTGGTGGTGGCCATAAGCAAAGGTACAGATGGGTAGACTTCCAGAGACTCCGCTATGAAGAAGGCAAAGAGGACAAGCCATTTGAGGAGAAGGTTGTGGAAGTTAGATACGATCCCTGCAGGTCAGACCAACTTGACATCTTTCCCAGTAAAGAAATACAGACCAAATGCAGTGGGTCATTACTGATCATCAATGTCTTTGCACAGGTCAGCTGGCATTGCCTTAGTGGCAGGAGGTAACCGTAAAAGGTGGATCATTGCTACAGAGAACATGGAGTCTGGAGATATGATCAAAACATCTGGAGTTATTGGACGCATGGCAGGTGTGAGATAATTCTACACTGCGTGTATTTTAACATTAGAGATTTTACTGAAAAAAAAAATAAAAACATGTGCTTTGACTTGACCTCACAGTATTAGCAAAGGAAGGCGATGCCCACCCACTGGGAGCACTTCCTGTGGGGACACTAGTGAACAACCTGGAGACTGAACCAGGGAAGGGAGCACAATTTATAAGAGCTGCAGGTAAGATTTTATTAGCTTTTATCCCTCTTGTTAGTATTTTAACGAGGGGCTTTATGGAGTCTGTTGATGCTAATGTACAGACAAAGTGATGATTATTTTGGTTGACTAATAGACCGGCCACCTTAGATTAATGAAAATTAAATTGTGTCATTAATTTGGGAACATCATCTATCGTAGAACAGGCAAAATTATTATTGAATGGTGAGTTAATACAGCCACAATCACCATTTCTACACTTCACCAGGTAAATGTAATTCATATCGACAAGAATGGCTTTTGTAATAGATTGTGACACTGAAGTGCATGAATCTAGTACTGGGATCACTAGGTTGTGGTTCTGCTAAATGTCCGGTGTAGCTGTAAAATTCATCATCATTAAAATGACTTTTCCAAAGCAGATACAGTAATGTTTTATTTCTTTGCAGGGACAAGTGGTATTCTGCTCCGTAAAGTGAACGGAACAGCAATTGTTCAACTTCCTTCCAAGCAACAGGTTCAGGTGAGCTCATCAACATTATGACACTCATAGGAGCTGAGAAATACTATATTCCTTTCTGTCAACTTAAAAAAAAATGCTTCTCCAACATACCCAGGTCCTGGAAAACTGCATGGTAACGGTGGGACGTGTGTCCAACATTGACCACAACAAACGGATCATTGGCAAAGCCGGTCATAATCGTCATTTAGGTATTCGCCCTTCAAGTGGCCGGTGGCAGAGGAAAGGAGGCTGGGCAGGACGCAAGATTAAACCGTTGCCTGCAATGAAGAATTACGTCAACCTGCCTTCAATCACAGGGCAGTGAGCAGGAGTCTGGACCGGACTTGGTTACATTTCATTTGTTCCCTCAATCATCCAGGAAAATACAAATAAAGACAAATTGTTTGTACAGAAGATTAAAAATTTTATTAAACACAATTGCTTGTGAGAGCATGGAAATAAACAAGAAACAATATAAAAATCCAAAACATATGTACATATTGTAACACATGCAGAGTAACTTTTAGTGGTAAAATTTAAAAATACTGTCATGTCTTAAAATAGGGTATGTGCAAAGACACTGGGTGGCATTTCAAGTAACAGGAACAATGAGACGGCATGTAGTTTGACCATCAACGATAATTTTTAACAAGGATGTTCAGTTGTTTTTTTTGTTGTTTTTTTTTTTTTTTTGCAGTGCTGAAAACATGGTGAAAAATAGGCGATGCCTGCTCATTGATCCGGCCTTGTACAAATGCCCCCATGCTACCTCTAATGGAGGGGCAAAAACATTAGGAAGAAAATGAGGTCAAACATATTGAATTCCACTTGTCGTCATTTTAGCTCAATTTTGATTTAAAAGGCTAAGTCACATGACAGATTCCCTCAAACAACAGTGCCCCTGTGAGCACCATTCAGCCCTAGAGTAAAATACGTTGGGGTTACTTGATCGTCTGATTACCGAAAGGCCTCAACCTTTCAAAAAGAGGCTGTAAATATGAAAAACAACTGGATGTTTATGGGCAGACACACAGTGGCAGCTGCAACATAAGTTCTTAGACAAGTGGCAAAACAAAAACCACATGAAAGTGCATCACAAAGTGAGGGAAATGTAGGAGAAATAACCAACAACTCTCTAGTGTTTACATTGTACACGTCAACTTCATAGTCACAAGCTCTGTAAAGTATATTTGGTATTTATGACGAGAAAGGACAAAGCTATTTGTGCTTTTAATTCATGGGGGTGAGGGGTTTGAAAATTCACAATAGTATATCTTGTATATTTTTATATACAACGTTTACTTTTTCTTTTCTCTCCAAAAAGCCAGTTTGCTGGAAAGCATGTACGTCTTGAACGAAGTAGAAAAGCAACAACAAAGTCATACATAAGGCCCTTAGTCTGAAGGATTCCTCTTGCAAAAAAACCCCCCACTCACACACAACCCCATTCAGGGAGTACCTTAAACATGTAGCACACCGACACACACTCATACACACAGACATACACAGGCAGTGACTTGGACATCAGCGAGACTCAACACGCTGAGTCATCATTTTCCAAAGCAGTTCAATACTTTGCATTGCGCTCAACAATACTGTTAACTGTTGAAGCACGTTTCCAATGAATCAGTTCCTTTAAAACACAATACTGACTGAATGGCCGACCAACGTTAGAGTAGTTTCAGGTTTGGGTTCTACGTTTTTGCATGTCTAGCCATGATGCAACTGTATTAAAGGGAAGAGCAGTTAGTTAGGAAGTACACTAGACCCACACTTATGCACATGTACTGTTGATAAGTTGATGGTTCAATGTTGAGCATCCACATTGATGCTGGATTTGCATTTTTTTTGGCAATGCTATTGATGACAATGTTAACAACCAGAAAATACAGAAAGTATGCTCACAGTCGTTTTGGCTTCTAAAGTCATATCAAGCATCAGGACAAGTCAAAGACACAGAAGAAAAACAAGTTGAAAATGTTTTAATCTAATTTGAAGTTTTCAGTCTTTTCACTGAAAAGCTGAAAGGAGTCCAGCAAAGACCTGGATCATTCTCTGGTCAATTACGCCAGGATGATCCTGATTCAATCCAAGTCTTGAATAAGAACGGCTTGTGGTTGAAAGATTGGGCCAAAATTGAGAAGAAACACACTCAGGAAGCAAACTGACTCCTAATTTGGATTCACTGTGATGCGATGGCCTTCTGAATGGACCATGTGATGAATTTAGTCCAAGCATTGGCTTGAACAGACAGGAAACCCACAATGCAGACCAGATCTAACTTGGACCTGGTCTGGACTGGAAGTTGCTAAATAAGTAGATGTAGGTTAGGTTGATGTCAACTTCCCAAAGTGGATCATTATCACTTTTTCTTTTGTATCTGTTTAAGTGAACTGCGACCCAATGACAGAACCCACTTTGTGGATCAGTTCCTAATCCTGCCAGTGTTGAGTGTGTGATCTGGACTTTTTAACTACATGAGTAATCTTATGACGAGTCAGACTGGGTTTTGTGGAACCAATCAAAACAAAAAGACAGAGAGAAATAGTGTTTTCAAAATCAGATGAAGTGCTGTTTCAACCAAGAACAATATACATGGTATATAACTGATAAAAGTAGAGTAGAGAAAAGATGGGATCGAGTTATAGCCCAACTTGCTATCGGATCGAAAGTCCATCTACATGCCTACTGCTTATACTTCCATATAGAAACCGCTCCCTAAAATTTATGTTGAATCTTTGTAAAGAACATGTTTTTTGTGAGCATTGTTTCTGTATTTTTTGGTCACACACAAAAAAAATATATTAATTGAAACGTTGCTAAGACAACAAAACTATTGTTAGCCAAGACTTTGCACATTACTGTATATATGTATAGAGTATAATCTTAATACTGATCTCCACAGTGACCAAAAATAGGTTAAATAGATCTGTAGTAACAAATACTATACTTGTCCGCGTCAAACCAAACCAAACCCAACTTTGGCACATCACTGCACATTAGGAGTACTCTGACATTTATTTGCAAAGTTACTGTGGGTTTGAGAGACACCCAGGATGTCAGAGCTTCATATGGAGTGGACATGTTTACCCCCCCCTTCCCATGCTCCCCAAAAATGTCCCAATTACAACACACTTGTATAAATGTGAATAAACCACCCAGGACCTTGAAACAAATGAGACACAGTCGTCACAACATTTGGCATCAGCTGATGGGGGGATGAAATATTTAGTTTTAGTTCACACATAGTGTGTGTGACGTTACCCTGCTTTATAGTGGTTTCTTCTGTACAGCCTGTATGTACATTGACAATGATGTTAAAAAAAGTCCAGTACTTACACTACGTAAGATGACGAGCTAACATGATACAAGTGTGTCATAGCTACATTCATTATAGCTACCTTCAAAAATACCTTGCCCATGTTTTTTTTTCTTTCCTTTTTTTTTTTAGTTTTTGCTTAAGATACAATGTGCTTAAAAGCAATTAGGCAAATAAAAAATAACTTTACGCTCCTTTCTATAAAAGTTTGTGAGACAGTAAAGGGACGAGTAGGAAAACGGAGCGCTGAGTTAGTTAGAGAGGATTCCACCCAAAATTCACAGCAATATTCCAACTTCGAACAAACGTCTCAAACGATCGCACACACGCCACGGCACGTCACCAACACGCTCCTCCATTGTCTATAGAGTAACAATAAATGTTAAGGATTTCACAGAAATAATAAGTCGGTAACAAAAAAAAAAGCAAAGTGCAAACACAGCTGCCATTATCGAAATGTGGCAAATTGTCAAAAAACCTCAAAAAACCTCAAGAGGCCATAGCACAAATCTTACAAAATAGTACTTGTTCTTTTTTGTAGTGTGTAAAAAAACAACAACAACAACACCCAACGTCAACATTGAAAACATCGAAAAACGACGACATGAAATCGGTGTATGGAACATGGTGGTGACTCAGTTAAGATTTCCACAGGAAAACTCTAACTGCCCCAGGGCCCGTTGGCTTCTTCTCTAAAGCTCTGAAGCCTCTGACTGAGACAAGTGCAGTGGACAGTCTGGCGGTGGGTCGTGGGATGGTGACCAGTCACACGGGTTTGGTGTAACCAAAGATTCCCACCGGGAAGTGCTTGACATGTGTGGGCCACTGAGCAGCGAGCTGGAAAAACTTCACATCATTCCACTCCACTCCATCAATAGTGACTGAGGACAAAGAAGAACAGTTAAATCCATGAGGTGGGATTGACACACGTCTTCCAGGTCAAATTCAAGTACTGACAAGCACCTCATAAGTACATTTCCAAACCTTTCCAGCACCTCTCGCTTCAAGCTCTAGACTCAGCAAACAGCTGCTTGACTGTTAGTTATTTAGGGCTCAATAAGGCAATTTTGGCTAACCTTCAACATTGAGAATATTTAGCTAATACAGACTAATTTGTGTGTTTATAATTAGTCATATTATGTTTCCTTTATTTATTCTCTTGTTATTAAATTTGTTGGACAAACCTAGTTTTCTAGTAAATAAATGTCCAGGGCATTCAAGCACCTAACCCATTTCAAAAGGAAAATCAAGAATTTCAGGGATCACTAATCGACCCTGATGAACACATGAACCAAATCAATCAAAAACTCGCCGTTGGAAGATAAAAAAAGGCGACAATAAGGTGTGTTCCATCGCTGTAAATGGAAAATTACTGAGCACTATCCTTACACCACCTGCAGGTGGCAGTGTAGAATCATACTCTCACCTCTCAGCATCGTATGCTGGTGCTTGGCAGTGCAGATTAACCTGCTAATACCGTCAATCACTTGGCTCTTAGAGTCCAGCTCTTTCTCCTTGGGCTTCTTGCTGAGAAAAATAACTGTAGTGCGAGAAGAAAGAGGAGAATTAATTCTAGAAATAATTATTTTTCCCTAAAATGTATTTTGTATATGAGGAAAAAAGATGCTTCATATTTCACACATTTAAACTTTCGGTGGAGGACTGTTTAAACACGATGCTAACGATCCTCCGAGTGTACGGCAGATGCTTCATTTACTGTTACCGTACCATAGCTTGTGTCTATTAAACAACTGATCTATATCTGTGTTTTCTTGCATTATCTCATGTGGGATCTGAATCCAAAATAATAACATTTTTAATCCTCCCACTTTTACAGCAACCTGCAAACGTGTTACTCTCAGCCTTCTGGTCACTTTGGTTTCCATGTGTGCATCTGACTTGGACTTTCCCAACGTACCTTTCTTGTTCTTCTCCTTGGTAACAACGGTCATGGCCATGCTGGGCGGAGGGGTGAGTTCTCCTCCGCAGGGGAGACGGCTGACTTGCAGAGAACGGAAATTACTTTTCAGGGTGTTCTTTAGCCCCACGTCTCTCTTTTCACCCTCCTTCTTCTTCTCAGGGCCTTGCCACGTCCAGTAGTCCACCTGCAGTCCCATCAACTCATTACCTGAACATGGAGAACTGACACAGGGAGGCGGGGAACTATGAGCAACACTGGGGAAGTGACATTTGATTCAAAAACACATGCGTGACAAACTGAGGTTGACACTTTATACAGGAGTGTTTATAATATCAGTAATGAGGTGAAGCTCGTCGTACCCAGCTCCAGACAGGGCTGTGGACACAGAGGGTGACTGAGGAGGAGTTCCTCCAATCTCCTTCCCATACAGACCAGCTGATGGGGGTGTTGGAGAAGACAGGATATTGGTGTTGCCTGCCATTGCATCATCTGAGTCAACTAAAAAAAAAAAGAAATCGAGAGAAAACAAGTCAATGCAAACAGCTTAGAAATAAAATATGAAAACACAGATGTGGGGTGTGGAAATCAATCGATGCAACAATTAAACAATGAACAAGGAAGTTAATATGAGACCACTTAATTCAACAGGAAGTGCCCAGCAGATTTTTTTTCAGACTTTTGTTTTTTCAGTACTACAGTATTATACTCTGATTGCAGTTCAGTAACGCACCCAGTAGACAGTGACATTTTTGTTAATTGCTCAACACTGGACCGGGACTATAAACTGCACTCCCTCGAGTACAAGCCAGATCCTTCAACCATCAAGTAAAACAACAAACACTTGAGTTTTATCATCAATGTTTGTGTCTGTTACCAGCAGTGACTGACTTCAACCTAATGCTGTTTTCTTGTGTTTTTTCTTGTTCCTGTCGCTCTGACATATAAGACACCAGCCAAACGATGAAAAAAAGTGCGACTTACAGGAGTAGCAGATACTCGTGCACAAGCCTAGAGTGCCCTCTAGTGGCTGTCAGTGTGAAAATAATAAACGTGATTTTTTTTTTTATATATATATAAGTCACACCTGAGCATAAGTCACAAAGGCAGCCAAAGGATGAAAAGAAGAGCGACTTATAGTCCGGAAAATATGATAATTCAGATGCTGCTCTTAGTGTTAGTGATTTTGTTTTTTTCTGATAAACACACACACACACAAAAAATTCTCTGACTAATAAAGCTTTTTCTTACCTGATGTTGACAGACTTTGCTCCACAATCCCTACTTTAACAACCTGTAAAAACAACAAAAAATGAACAATAAAAAAGAGCTAATCTTTTCCTTCAGAAACTGCAACCACTACTAAACTGCAATGAGTCTTACCCCAATAAATGGCACAAATTTTTGACAGGAGTCCTCGTCAGGGCTGTGACAATAAAAACAAAGAGGCCATGAGTGGGAGCAGAGGTGGGTTTGAACACAAAAACAAAAAAGGAGAGATGACGGTGCCGTGAGCTGTCATCACAGTGGAAATGGCACATGACTGGCTGGTGTGGAATGAGTTCATCTTGGGGTCAGGCTACAATGAGATGAAAGGGACAACTGCTCCTTACAACCAAAAAAAGTTGGCCATTTGTTTTCGGGCCGTCCTAGAACAGAGAGGTTTGTAATCGATGTTTCTTTTCTCTGTCGTCACAAAACTACTTTAAACTGCTCCTCAACACAGAGAAATAAGGACACCAGCCACTGTTGACTAATGTTAACACTAACTCCAGCTGATGATTTTCTCGATTCCCTCCTAATCTTTCACGTGCCTGTGAAACAGACTGCACACACAGCAATATACAAAATGATGGCAAACAATGCTGCAGCTTGTTCCGGTGCAGACGCAGCAATCTTAGCAGGTTTAGGGGCCAGTTTTGTGTTACATCATCATTTTATTTTATACTGTATAATATATCAGTGGAGTTACCTTCTGCAAGCGTAAAGAGTAAAAGAAAAAAAACTTTAGGACTGAAAAAAACTGCAAGTAGATCATTGGAAAAAGTTAGAAAAACAACACAGTGGATGGACTTTGTGATAAAAGTTGGTATAAAAACTAGATAAGGATGGATTTGAATATCATCTAAAAAGGCCAGAAGATAAAAGACATTAAAAAGAAAAGGTTTATTTGATGATTGTGTGTCAAAGTCTACAAGCCCCTTTTAAGTGGAAACACAGTTTTTCCTGTGTTTCAGATTTTTGTGCCAAGTATATATTCAAATAAACAGATCACTTAGACAAGAGATATGAAAAATATTATAGAAGCTTAATGCTTTTTTATGTATTTTTAAATCTATTTTATGTATTATATATAAAAAAGTCTACCAACTTGTGTTTGTAAATGACACTGATCCCATTAAGCAGTAATTAAACCAATGGATTCCACTTTGCAGAATATGTTAGAAGGTTGTTAGGCAAAATGTCACAGCAACAACACAGAGGACAGGGTCAGAGCCAAGGCCACATCAAACCAAAGACAGTTGAGACGGTGTGAGGACAGAGTGTGAGTCGTAAGATGTGGGAGATGTGGAAACACAGTGGGAAACCCAGGCCAAAATGAGGGAGGGGAAACCAGGAGGGCAAAAGCAAACAAGAGTTGACTTAGATACCTGATGTAAAAATCAAAATACAAACTCCTTTTCCTTGAATGCAAATCAAAAGGGGAGGGAGAAGGAGAAAAGAAGGAATGCAACAGCGTTAAAACTGCGTGTTGTATTTCATAGCCTGCGAACATTAAAAAAAAAAATACTGCGAAAATGAGGTGAAAAGGGATCGGACGAACCTAGCAGGAACAAATAAATGCAAGAGAGGGGGAGAGAATCTGTGTGTGTGTGTGTGTATGAGAGAGAGAGAGAGAGAGATGATGTCTAAATGTATTCAGTCTAATCTTAAAAATGTTCTTCCAAAACTTATTTACAGCCAGACAATTAAAATAGCACAGGCAACCAAAACACTGAAAAAAACTAATGTTACATTAGGCAAATTTTACACAAGAAGGTAAAAAATATTACTTAAAGTTTGACCAAAAAATCTTCTCATTAGCCAAAACATTAAAAAAATGTTTAGTTAACTTTTTTTTTTTAAGTCAGCCACAACAGTGCTACATCTTTAGCTACCTGCCCTGGAACTCTCTTAAATGCTTCCAAACATGTTTTCATGTTCACCACCAAATGTTCATATGTCCAAGTGTCATGACTGACCCAGGAGTCCAATGGTTTATACAGTATGTACCATATGCAGTGGCATGCAGAGGCCTCGCAGCCCCATGCATTCCACTGTCATTCACTGAAGATGTCTTAGTCTAAGCGATGCACTAAGCAGATACATTTAATTTGCTTTTGTTCTAGATAAAGTTGTCATGTAGAGAGCCACATTCAGCACTGCAGCACAACAGACTCCAACAGAGACATGTGATCATAGAAATGCAATACGAAATACAAATGCAAGCGCACAGACGTGCAGTGGAGGTAGAACGCTGAGGGTTGCTTTACCTCTTTTGTTTGTAGGTGAGCATGGCCTCCGAGATGGGGAACTGGTGGGACACGTTGGCACCGGCCAGGTACTGAACCACTCGTCCTGCTACGTCAATGTTATCTGTGGGGAACAGGAAGACAGATTGTGAACACCATGCGTTTCCTGTCGTCTGTCTGCCTGTCTGACTGACTAACAGGTGCCAGTGATGCAAATGCTAGGTTTCACATAAGGCAGGAGTGTGCACTTATTAAGCACAAGTCACTGAATTATAGTGAGAGAGAAGAGAGACTGGGGAGCTGGGTGTTAGTGTTAAATCTGCAGAGTGATGTAACAATATCAAGCACAATTTTAATTTTTTATCTAACTGAAGGCCTGGGGGGAATAGCAAGGTACATGTTCTTAGACCTTGTAATGTGCTTACAAGTTGATTTTTTTTTTTTTTACATATTCCTTGATACAGACCTGTATGGTTTTATTCAGTAAAGAAATTAAAGAAAAACCAGAAATCAGGTGACAGGGGTGGAGTAATTTATGCTTAAATACATCTACATATTAAGTGACTCCTGTATTTACAGGGAGTAAATTAGGTTAAATAATCTGGGCTGAACAGCAGACAAAACAGACGAGAGGAAAAAAATAATTTGGTTTATAAGCAATTAAGTTTTTTTGAACATATGCTGAAAATGCTGACAAGACAAATACTGATGAGAATGTCAATGCTAGTCCTGTTTTAAGAACATAAACAACAGGGTTGTTCAAAACATAGTACACTTTGCTTAAATTATTAATTTAATTTATAGTACCAAAGAAAAGAGTCACATGAAGCCAGTTTTCTTAATCCAACACAGGGACATTAACAGTTTTAAAAAATCTCCTATTCAAGATTTATAACATTCATTTCAGCTACACAGATGGCTAAAATAAAAAACTAAAAAACTAAAAGCACTCCAACAATCTGCTCAGGTCCTTGCCGACACACAGGTGAAAGTGTGCAGCCATGATGTGGAGCTGTTTGCTTCATTAAAGCCAGCCTGTGGCTGTCGTTTAAACAACTCCCCCTCATCCATCAGCCCCTGACCTCTGACTGCTTTTTCTTTTCATTTTCGAGTTGGTTGAACATTAGACACGCAGACCTGCTGTGCTGTCGCGGCGATGGATCTTACCTGAGGTTGGCCGTTCCGTCCTGCAGAACAGCTCCCTCCACGCGGTGTCCATAAAGATGCTATTGAACCTGCTGTCAAACGAGGCCATGTACTTTGCCAGGGGGTGAGAACCTGCGCCAGAGATTAAAGTCCATGAATGCAACCCAGCCGACTCCACATGACCGTTTATTTTATTTTACTGTGAAACCTTCATGAAGGCTGACGTACCAATGGGAATCACCAGGAAGCGTATGTAACTCAGCCAGTCAGGCGTCTTGTTGGCCAGCTGCTCCACAAAGAAGCGCAGGATGGTGCTAAGGTAACTCTGGTCTCCAGCCACCGCCACTTTCATGGTCGGCGGTGTCTGCGCGTTGCAGTTACAGCTGAATGTGTTTTTTAAAAAATGAGGAGAAAAGCAATGAGTAATTAAGAGAGAGCAGTGAATCATTAAAAATGAGGTCAGAGAGTGAGTGTGGGAAAATTCTCAGCGTCTGACAGATATAGTTCAGCACAACAGGGGGTTTCCTGGTGGAAACACAGTGTTACGTATGTAGAACAGTTTATTTACAATAACATTTGACACTGTTTGAATGTCCTTTTAAATCACACATTACAAATCGATTCAAGCTAGTATGTGGAACATTTTTGACTTAGTGCTAAATACAGGCTGCTAGCCTCCTTTTTGTTCCCACTGTACACGTTGTCACCATCCGCTAACCACTCCCACCCCGTTTCCAGGAGTGGGAAGGTTTTAAAAACTACTATCATAACAAATTTGAATTTTATATCAGATGGACCGTCAAAATGGGGACTGGAAATGACTCATGGGATATTAGGTATTATGCTCATTGTACCAATATCAGTGGAAGCAAGAGTATCTTGAAGGAGGCAATAGCCAGCAGCATTTATGCCAATAAAAGTGTATGAATTATTTATGACATTTTGTGACATCCTTGACAGACAGTTCTCCTGTCCATCTCTGGACCACATATACAAACAAACCATTTACACTCACATCTATATGTTTGGTCCATTCCGAATGAACAGTGAACCCAAACCTGCATAGTTTTGAACTAGTGATTTTGATGCTGGACAAAGAGTGAATGCAAGCAGAGGGCAACATCCCCATCGCTAAATACTCCTCCATGTATGAGGGATAAACACTCTCCCATATACATGTCAAATGGAGTGATGTCCTTCCTACGATTCTATGAGTTGTTTTATAGGGAACACTCCTTCCACTGTCCACCAATATGGAGTTTGCTGTCATATATTTTTAGGATTGTACATAATGAGATGTGTTTTAATAAAGAAGAACAAAACCTGTCCTCCTGTGCAACAATCTTGCACCCAGCCTGAAACTGTGACAACACCGACTAAGCACGTCCAAGTCAGAGTTGTGCATGACTCTACACGATATGGCCCCAGCTGGAGTAAACATGTTGACGGAGAGAAAACTGGTTTAACAGAGGCAGCGCAGCCAAATCTGACGTGACGTACTGAGGAGAAGGCAGCTTAGCAGATGGATCAAACCAGAGAAGGAGCGAGAACATTTGAGCTTCAGTTTTTCATGAGAAAAACAGACGCATTGATTGATAGAATGGGTTAACAGACATACACTACTACAGCAGTGTGAGCAATGTTGAGATGGAATTCTCTGGCAGTGAGCCACCACAAACATTATGAACCCAGAGGAAGGAGCAGCGAGATCAGCCAGTCTGCTGGCTCCAACCACTCCATCAATGTTTTTTTTGTGAATGAATGCATTTAGGTATGTATGTGCGTATGCGGGCGACTCACAATCTCTGGATGCGAGTCACGATGGTGTTGAAGGCAGCCTGAACATCAGCAGCAGAGCAGGTGGACACAATGGGCTGGCTCTGGTCATGGAGCAGTTCAGCTACATACTGCACAGAGACACACACGAGAGGGAGAAGACGAGTTGATGGACAGATGAAGAGGCATGGTGATGCAGGAACAACAACATGCGGCTCAACTCACCACTGGACTCGGGATGAACCCATAACAATAGCATCAGTGTTGACACTTCATCCAAATATTCAAACGTGTTCTTGAAAACATGTGCCGTCTTCTTTTATACAACTAAGTCTTTCACAGATGCCAATGTAGCTTCTCAGTTTAGTGACACAGTGGACAGATGAGGTGTTTACACTTCACTATTTTGCTTATTAACCAACATCCGTGTTCATTACTGAAACATGAAAATAGGGAATTTGGAAAGCTGGTGTTGGTATTAAAAGCTCCACTTAGTTTCTGTTCTGTTGGTGCTAACTAAGTATAAGGCTAATTTATATTGCATATATATAGTATCTCTGTATGGTACGTGGAACCAGTGGGTATAAAAATGAAAATACTCAGGATACAGACATACTGCTTTGTATTAACACACACACACACCTGTCCTTGCCACTCCATGGTGTTGATCAGGATGATGCTCTCTGGCAGGCGTTCGTCAGAGATGAGGATCTGGTTCAGTTGGTCATACACAGACTTCCTCGGAACCTTGACCAGAAAAGAGAAGTGGAAATTATGACACAGAGACAAGCCAACATTCATTTAGGTTTGACATGTAGCTTCATACACCTGTAGGTGATTATGTGGTTTATACGTTTAAGTTTAACTGATCTGGTGTAAAGTCAGCCTTGACATGGATGGACCTCAACAGCAGAAAACAACACAATCTGCCTGTTTTATTAACCAAGAACAATAATTTGAAGAGCTTCCTAGAGAGGCATTAACATGAAAAGGGCTGATTTATCTTGTCTTCTAAAAATGGAAAAGGAAATTGAAAATCTGCTCAATAATCTAGTATCTAGAATTGAAGACATAATGAAGGGTAAGAGGGGTTTTTATATTAAGCATTAGCATGATTTACCTGCTTGTTTTTGCTCACCTGTGCGATGAGTCTCGAGTCTGGTGAGCACTCACTCTCCATGCTGCTGGTCCTGTCACTCTGGGCTTTGGAGTTTTGTCTGTCTTTCATGGAGGTGCTGCGCGTACGTCTCTGCAGTTTGTTCTCCATTTTACTGCCAGGAGGGACAACATTGAAGAGCTCAAACAAGCTCCAAGTAACTTCAGAATATGCAAAGCTAAACATGTGTACACTTCCAGATGAAGCCTTCTGCCATTTATTTACCTTGGAGACATGTGATTCTGAGACTCAGTCTTGCAGAGTTTCCCAACGGGGCTAGTTATCCGTTCAGTGTTTGGATCCCAGCTGCTCACCTCACCCAGGGCCGGGCCGTTGTCATCAGTGTCTGGCTCCTGGATTAAAAGGAGGAGGGACGGGAAAGTTAATCACACAAATGTGAAATAATCATCCTGCAAAATGTCCATTTTAATCTAAAAGCCTCAGCTCTGTTCTGCAATCTTCATGTTTGGAGCCAGTATTACAAGAGCAGGAAGTGTGGAGGTGCTGAGCTGCTGAATAATTTAGCTCAGCTGTTGAGGTTGGAGATAATGATGCAAGCCCACCATGACAGATGGGATAAAAGTCATGATCTCTTTGGCAGGGGAAACACCGCTCCTGCTGCAAAGGCTTTTCATTTTTAACTAGGTTAGTGGACCTGGGAGCTGAACTGGCTGCCTGGCAGTCAGAGGAGGGAGGTCAGGGTGAGACCAACAAAACAAAGGCAACAACAAACACCTCTGCCTCCATCCTGAGGAGTTAGCAACTGCACAGCAGCCTTGTCTCACAATAATGATCCACCATAGATGATGGTTTATTCTGCTTGTCCTTTCAAACTTCCTTTCATTCCGTGTGTTTTTCTTTTGGAAAATACCATAGGAAGCAGAGGGCAGTGGAGTGGACATGACAAGAGGACAGACGAAAAAAGACACAGAGATGCCCCAGGGAAAGTTAGTGAACTTTTAAAAACATACCCCAGTGGTTGTGTCTGTGACGCTGTCATCTAGATAGCGAGAGCTCTGCGTTTTACATCTCTCCACGGTCAGAAAGTCTCCACTCTGTACAGTAAATGCAAACATGTTACAAATCAAACAGACATTTCTGGAGAACAGTTCAAGAGAAATCAGTGCATATTGGTTAAAGGTTAAAACTTCTGCTGAATGTGTGTGACCTTTAAGACCTTTGAGACATTAAGACATTTGAATTATGGTTATTCGGCCACTCCAATAAGAATAAGAATACTCTAGTTTTTACTGAGACAGTTTTATGGATATGGGCTGTACAAATAAAAAACTGATTTGACTTGACTCCACAAGACTGTATAATGCAAAGAAAAGTCATACATCAAATCTTTGCAGGAAACCAAGAGTTGACTGAGTTCATTGCCCAGAGGGCCATGCTTTTCAATGGATTTGTTGAAAAATGGTTACAGATCATCCAGACTGTTAAAAGGTGAAAAAGGTAACAAATGATGTTTTCACTGGAAACGCTGAAGCTGTAATTTATCTTTTAAGATTTATGCACAAAAATAAATGACGGATTTAATTTTATTGTATTTTACTAAGAGTTTTTTTTTATTTTTTTAGAATCTATAAATTCCTGATGTTGCAATTAAGATTATTACTCTCAGGACCTGTAAATGTCATGACCTCTCATCCAGGCAGACAAGTTCCCCTTCTTAAAAGCACATGTTATTACATGAATTAACCTTCCAAATTTAATAGAAGCAGTCGTTCATTCAAGGTTAACTATACTGCTTAAGTGCACCTCATTACATCTACTGTATTTCTCTTCAGCGTCGGATCAGAAGCTTCCCTTTGTTTGTCCGACATGTTTATGAAGTTCAACCAAAGATGTTTATGAAGTGAAATGAAGGACGACCGCCGCCGTAGTCTAAAAAGGATTTGGCCTGTTTCACTACAAACAGATGGATTTATAGATATTTATAAACTGCACCCTCTTCTTTCTCCATCAGGAAAAAATGTCTCCCTGTCTTTGCTTTTTCTACTGAGCTATAAATTTGACTTGGATCTTAGGGGCTGGTATGTCCATTTTATCCCCTGCATGCGAGTTTATTTGTGTGTGTGTGTGTGTGTGCTTGTGGTACAGAGGTCATCCAGTGTCAGACCCTATAAATACTGGATGACTTTAAGGGGGTGGGGGTTAGTTAGGACCACAGGCCACATTTTTTACTCGGGTGGGAGTTGGTGGGCTACATTGTGCTCATGGTTAGAATAACTGGGCTGCAGTATCAATGTCTATTGGAATCCATGTTTCACTGTAAGCAGAGAGAAGTGCCGGGTATTTAAACACTAACCAGCACCAAACCTGTTACATAACACCGTGAACAAAAAAAAACTTCACCAGGAACAGACAGACAGAAATTCACAGCGTAGCAGATCGGCTGCTAATAGATTGTATGTGATGAACTCACAGGACAGGACAGCTCCCTCTGTTGGCTTTTTTGGCTATGTATGCTTCCGATTTCTGTCTGTGAGCTGGAGTGAGACATCCCTTCAAAAAATGGTCTGGAAACAAACAGACAACCTCATTTACTGAGCGGTAGCAACATTTGACATATATTGTTACGTATAAAGACAAAATGATTTTGTTTTCACACTAACATTGGATAATGTGAATGATTGACAACTGAGACATACTTGAGTTTGGGTTTAGGTGTGCTAAGGACACTCTCGTTGTCCTCCATCTCTGGCCCACTGTCACTCTGGTTATACACTTCCAGACTGTCATAGAGTAAGTCCAGATCCTCCTCCACCTCCTGGGTCTGGTCTACTGGGTCAGAGTCTAAGACCTGGCACACAGTAAAGTCCAAGGTAAGGAATAGACAAAATGGCCTGATAAGTCAGCAAAATGTTAAAAGTTAACTATACAAATAGTCTAACTAGAGATTAAGAAAATTAAGCAAAGTAAATGTAAATAAATAAAATAAAAGTAAATACACTATCACATGAAAGTTTTAGGATGACAACAGAATCAGAAATTAGCATATAGTTTTTAAGAGCTGGGAAAATAAATCTCTCATATACCCAATAGGTATTAGGTCTGCTATTAACAGCAACAGTCTGGCTCAGAAACAGCTAAGGGTTTGTCCAAAAAGTGTATAAACGGGAAAGAAAACAAAACCTTTTTGTTAGTAAGCTAAATTGTTGGCTCCAAAATACCTTCAAAATAGGCAGAAGTTCCATGACAATTAAAGTAGAAATAGCTGAGAGTTTGTTAAAAGCCACTTTCAACATTAAAAAAAACATAAAATGATCCAATAGGCACATACAAAAAAACCCCCCCAAAAAAAAACAATAAAAAAAAACTGCTAAGATGGGACTCATTCACAGACAATTTCCTCCCCTGGTATAGACACTTCATTAACACATCCCAACACCATCACAAAGACTTTGTAATTGTGACTATGGATATAAATGTCAGAAAGACAGCCTGTGTTAATTCCAATCACAGCAGGATTAATAGAGCTTAAAAAAGAACAAGAACAATGGCAGCTGTAAAAGAAAAAAAAGGCCAGGATACAAACACATCCTCGGCTTGAAGCAGGGCAATTAAACGGTAAGTGAGTGCCTTCATCTCTGAGCAGCGCAGCAGGGATGTATTCCATAGAAACGGCAGAAACCGGGGCCTGTGGACTAATCAGGTGATTAATGCCACTCCATAAGCACAGGCTGGCAGGGAGCAGATAAACACAGTCTGTCCACAGTCCACCTCCTGGCTAGGTATTTATAGAGCCGTAACCCTGCACACCGCCCAGGCACAGGAAAGGGATTAGCGACAGGTAACGTGATAAAAGATCACTAGGCCACCTGGAGCTTCCAGAATTATTCGACAAAAGACATGTCGGTGGCCCGGAGGCTCCTGAATGCATCGGCAGTTCCGAGTTGTTGAAAGTTTACAGATAATAACAACTACAGAGTGGGAGGAAGATGAAAAAAAAAACAAACAAATCCATTATTTCCTATAATCTTTTTACACTAAGACAGAAGACAGGAAGGCATTATTTCTATAGGGCCCACAGCAGTTATTGTCATTATAACAAACAGTGGATTATGTATTCAGTATCATCTACGGGTTGTTGCACGCAAATGGTTGACGTCCTGCCGATGACCTGATTAGGAGCTTTAATGCAGAATCCACAAACACTTCACATCATACATAAGGCCGTTAATGGATTCTGAATACAGATCTGCAGCTGAAGGCAACGTATGAATCATGCATCCATGAACACAGAGGTAAAAGCAGCTGGGTACTACAACAAAGTCCGTTCCTCTCTCGTGCCAGTGATTCTCTCTCACTCTCTTGCAATTCGTCCGGACACCAGGACATGAAAATGGATGCAGCAATATGCAGCTTAGCAAGTCGATACAGAGATTGTTCTTCCTTGCCTCCAGACCATATTAGTATGTATAATGGATTAAAGCTGACGCACTAGAGGACGTAATAACAGAAGGAAGCAGCGGCTCCAGGCAATGTTGAGTTAGAGGACGGGCCCTGTACAGTCCATCACAGTTTTTCTGGCATTCCACCAAACGTGATCTCTTGAATGCCCAATCATAACTCACCTCGTCTGTGACTTTAAACCTCTTCAGCAGGGCCACAAACTTCTGTTTGAAGTTAGGTTGCTGAAACATGAAAATGAAAGAGAAAGAAAAAAAAGTGTTAGGATAAAAACAAGCCTTTAAAAGGAGAGTAGCTGTCATCACTAAATAACCATGACAGCTGGGCTTGGGCTTATCAGTTCCCCAGTAACTGTCCGGTGGATCCACAGCCACTCTATATAAAGACCATTATAATCAGTCCAGTGAACCCAGTGTTCATTTACATGCTCATCCACATCATCCTAATGGCTCCAACAAATGGACCACAGAGGTTATTTCCTACTAAAAGCTTGTAAGACGCCAAAGTCTTGTCTTCCTGTTGATATTAGAGTCAATGATTGGCCAGAACCAAAGTCCACGTGTCATTAAAAAAAAGGGAAAAACTAACCCTGGTCATGGAAGTGGTTCGAATCATTTTCCTCCGAGCCTTTTTGGGCTTCCTGACCTCGTCGTCTTCATCGTAGAGATCCTAAACGAGAGAAAGGGTAGGTTTGAAATATGTGAAATTTCTCTCTCACAGCTGTGAAACATTTAGAAAATGTACAAGATTTTTTCCCACATTTTCTTTATGTTTATGTGCATATCTGGGTGGGTTGTTTTCATTGTACTAACCGGGCCATGAACTGCATCATCACTGGCTTCTTGCTCTGATGAGTAGCTGTCATCATCCTCCTCAGAGTAATTATCCATGTCTGGGGACCGGTCTGTGTGAGAGAAAAAAAAACAAGCACATGCAAAGAAAAGAATATGTATGTCAAAATGTAGGCCATCAGATCTGGCAACCCATGAAAAGGGTGCTGCATTCATGTGATTTCTATTTAAATAAGAAAATGGTTTTAAAAACACAGACATAAAGTTCTAAGACCTAATGTCTTAATGTTTCAAGTATTCTTTTTGCTCAGGCCTAAAAATACATTTAAAAATGTAAGAGAAACAGAGAGTCCTAAATCCTGTTTATTAGGAGTTTCCAGGCCTCCTTCCATATGGAGCTGGTGCGGAGCTGAGTGTGTGACAGCTGATTTAGGATCAGCTACTTCAGAATTCCCTTTGCCTGTGAAACATCCTGTTTCTGGAAGGGATGGAGAATATTAAAGGGTCACTACAGATAGGAGAAAGATAAACATCTCCTTCCCTCAGAGTGACACTCATTTAATACTGGCTGCATGAGCTCATCTGTTATGTTTGAGTGGTCTCCCTAATGACATCCAGAACATGGTGGGATCAGCAGAGCCCAGGTCCAATATTCCCCACGCCCAGAAATAAAGTACTGTAAGGTAATAGGCCCGACATCTGTTCGAGTCAGGAATCAACACTGCAGCTACGGATGGAGAAAATAACATGTCCATGGCAGAGGGCTGGCCCAGAATTAATACTGTTTACTTTATCCAGAGATGGGAAATAGAAACCATGTGGAGGAGGGAAAGGAGAAGGGGGGGNGAATGATTGACAGGAGATGATGGTGCTCACCTGAGGGTTTGGTCTTGCGTCCAGCCTGGCCGCTACCGTCCTCATGGTCAATGGGCTGGCTGGACAGAGAGTAAACACTGATCTCTGCCACACGCACTGGGGCCTCCTTCACGTTGCTGTGAAGACCCAGAATCTGCCCTCCATCTGTCGGGTGTTGCATCACCTGGAGGAGGGAGATTAAAATTGGGTCTGGAACAGCTTTTGACAATTTAGTAATTCACTGCAAGTTATACAAGGTAGGTTGCACTTGATCTCTCTTCTGTAAGAAAAATCGACTCAGTTACTACCACTATTTAAGCCGAGGGCACAAGGGCACGGAAGTAAGCAGAAAAATGGAAACTGACCATTATATAATGTGTGCTTTTGCCCTTGACGATTACCTAAAGCATGTTGCTAAAGCTATGATAATTAGTCTAACATTCAAAATTAGCTGCTGTAACAATAATGGAATAAAAAATGTTCCACTGAAAAATGACATCACCAGTCACATCACCTTAGCTCCGACATTGATTTCTTTATATCAAATAAATCATCAGCAGTGACCAACAGGGCAAAACCCTGGTCTATAGACTCTAACTAGCTAAGGAAGGTTGACAGATTTGTCCCAGTCATTATGTTACTGTTGTTACTCACAGTTAAAGCTGGACATCAGATGATCTACATCAGATTTACGTACTTAAACTCAAAAAACTTAATAAAAATGACTGGTCATTAATGAGCAGTCTGCTGTGGTCATGACCTTCAGTCATGAAAAACTAAGTGTACAGTTCATTTAAACCAGCAGGTGTCCATCATCAGTGAAACAAGTTTTTACTCAGGAAAAAAAAACTTTTAATGTGAAAATTGCATTGCCTGTTCTCAATCAGCCAAGAATAGGACAGCATATAATTACAATGCGTCACGCTTGATTTACCGACTGCTGATAAGATGACAGCCAGGCTATCTTTATATCAATTTACATTTGGATAAAACCTCCTTCCCAGACTCAGTGTTATAATTTAGAAGCTAATTTTCTATTCGTTATCATTCAGAAAAAAAACTCGACAAACATTTATCATCAACTATTTATATGGAGAACATGGGAGGACGTTTCCCTTCAAGCACTATCTGGAGGGTGGTTTCAATATTCAAAGTGATGAATCACTATACAGGGAATAGCCCTAAATACTGCCAGGAGGGCACTTGAACACGGCGCTCAGTAAGTCACTCTCTGAGGTGGAGAGACGGTTCACTTCACAGAACATGGATTTATAAAGAATCAACAAGTTTCAACAATGACCAATCAGTCGTTACTGTAGGAAAAACATGAATTTTTAGTTGTCCATTCTCAGCAAAGAGGTTCAACGGGTGACTGCATTGATGTGTTGGTCTTTTTTCACCGATCGGACTTTCCCTTCTTAATGGCTCAGCGTAGTGAGACTTCACAGATCAATAGCTAGTTGCATCAGTGGCAAGTTTACGCCACTTCTGTTTCTCCTTTTATGTTAAAAATAGGGTTAAAATGAAATCCAACCTAAAAGTGCTGTGAAAAATTATATTTCCTTTATGGTGCAGATCTGATCAAAAACCACAGCCTCAGTAAAATTCTTTATGGTGGGAGATGAACTCAGTTTCACAAAAAATGACTTTGGCCTTTTTTGTCTTCTTCAAAGGTCAATGTCAAAAATTTTATTTCTCAATTTAGGGAAGTCCAACTTCCTTTCTACTGAACTGAAGTCTGAGCACTGACTGCGTTTATCCTCAGGAGATAAAAATGAATGTGTTCATCAGTGCATGAAAACCACATCATCCTTTATGCAGCATATGCCGTTCTAATGTAAATGAGCACAGAGCAATGACATAAACACATAAATCCTAACCGGGTTCTCTCCATAATTTAGCCAACGCGTTATAAAAACCACTCAACTGTCCTAGTGAATGACCTAACCAACTAATGATAAACAGGAGAACCTGATTAAATAACAGTATACTGCTGTATCTATTATACATGCAAAGCATGTTCAGAGACACAGCTTGGAGAAAAGTGCATACGAAGCCAGCTCCAGATGGCACATAATCTCACAGTGTGCGTGTGTTGAGCATGAATCATGTCGAATGACACAATTACACTTCAAGCTCTGGGTTTGGCAACTGAGACAGGAGTAAAACACACTAATAGCCACGTCAGTCACTGTCACAGAGCAGCAGAATGCAATCACAAGCTCGAAGAGGAAAAAAAAAGGATTCATTTCTGAGAAATGAACCAACTGAAAATGAAAACTGAAACTTGGCGATTGAAAGCCATGCCCCAGTGAAGACAGGATTAGAGTACCGTACCTCAGACATGTTGATGACGCCCACAGCCAACGTTTTGTAGCCCAGGATGGTTCTGTTCTTGTAGCGTTTTCTCCTTTGCAGCATGATCTGCAGTCTGTTTGCATCTCTCTTCAGAAAGTGGGGGTACTGGAAATAAGAAGGACAAAAAAAATCACTTAAGACCAAATATTCAAACTACCCAATGTATTCAAATGTCTTTTTGATTGTGGAATTGATCTAATAAACAAAACTTTTTTTTAGCAACTACAGTAGCTTCAAATGGGCTTTCCTCTTTTATTTGCTTATCTTCTAGCACGATATTCCATGCAGTAGTGCTAGGAAAGCAGTAGAGAATGCCCACCATGAACAGTTACTCAGTCCATATGAAGAACCATTCAAATTCACACTTATATTAATCCGAAGGATCAGAGGCCAAACACTGAAATCCTTTTGTGGCTACAGGCAGAAACTTTAACTTTCATATAGAAACCATCAGTTACTCCCAGGGCTCAAACTGATAACCTACTTGCTGTAAGGCAACAAAACTAGCCACTTTTCCCACCAGGTAGCCTCTTTCTCCCCTCCATTCAAAAGTTCTGTTTTGATAATGTTTTTGGATGTTTTCTATTTTATTGCCAGACAAAAAAAAGTCTCTCGTCATTGTCTCCAACCTGAATGACATTCAGCTGTTCTGTACAGTCACATCCACCCCAGTGAGCATGGGTAGATGTGAGAAAGTGACTCCAATATCTTCTTGTTTAGTGACAGCACAGACCAAACATGCTGAACGTGAACTCTCCAGTCAGATGCATACTTTTTCAATTATAGACCACAACAAAACAGAGGGTAACCACAGATGCTTGTCTGTGAGACAATCCACGGCTGTAAAACCATAAACAGCACAGCATATGATACGAGGGCAAGTCCAATATGTTCGAGAACAAATTGAAAAGAAAAAAGTATTTATTACAGTCTTTCACTCCAGGTCACAACTTGTGACTCTGCCATATCTAAGGTCTGATCATTCTTTTCAAAAGTTCATTAATTTTTTCGAAGAAGAGAAGAATCAGTTGGCGGTATGACAAACTATGCAAGTTTTTGTTCTCAATTACACTCCATTATACAACAGTTACAACAGTTATTGTCATTGTGACAATCCTGGTCCAATAATCGTACCATCAGGAATGAAATTAACTTAACTTTACATAAGGAAACTAGAGTCTGGATGAAGACATTTACAGCCTGTCACTTAGACCACAATGAGAACTGGACGTGTAGTGTCACCAACTTGCCTGTAGTGAGAATGTGAGCTCCAGATCTGTCTCCATCAGTCCACTGGGTGGGAGGATGTACTCGTTTGATCTGAGAAGACGCTTGGAACCCTACGAGACAAAGTCAATAAGAACTGAGCAGACGTATAATGACAGAAATATTCATATGAAGTCTTGTGTTTCAAGTGAGCGCAACAATGCAACGGAAGAAGCACATTTAGAAACAGCACAACAATATTTTAAGTTTGCTAATGCCTGGAATCAAACGCATGAGTTAGTGAGACTGTCACACAATATCACAATATATGCATTGTTATCATTTAATTTAATTTTCTTAACAGCACTCAAGGATACAATGTGTGACTCCCTGGAATCATCTGTCTCCATTTTATGGACACTGGAAATTCAAAGAACAAATAAACGTCTGTTGATTAACTCTTATGGTTTATTCTAACATCTATCATTTGGATATTTCATTCACAAAATAAATAAATAAATAAATAAATAAACTAATAATGTTTTTTTTGTTATAATGTTTTTTTTGTTGTCTACTGCTTTTAGTCCAGAGCCATCTCAACAGCAGAGGCCAGGGGTCCAGGTCTTATTTTAGTACTGGCCTCTTTAAAATTCGCACATTTATACAATTTCACACCTTCAGGCTGTCCAGAACAAACCGTTCTCCACTAGAACAAACAGTCCTAAAAGCTCTCTAAAGTATTTGTACAACGATTTAGTAGAAACTGCCATTTAAATTCAATGTAAACATGTTATTCTGAGGTCATTATTATGTATGCAATTTAAAGGTTTGAACCAACAGACCAAGATGATAAAACATATTTATTGCAAAAACAAAAAAAGTCTCACAACCTTCTTTGAAAATGCAGTACGTTCCAGCCTGTCTTTGAGTTTTCCCTCATTAAGTTCAAGTATTTTGTAAAAGAATGCATTTTAAGATATGCATAACGAAGCCTGTTTATCATCCAAAGGTATTTCAGGGAAACTGACAAATACTCATTCTAAGTTTTGTTTATTAGATTGTTTTACAAGGTGATTCACATTAACACCATGAAACAGTTTTAAACCGCACCTCAAAATTGGTTAAATATAATATCACATATTGATGTTGCTGTTTAATAGACATTATGAGCTTATTGAATTCTAGTAAATAAAACAACTTTGTGGGCCAACCACAGAGGGATTTAAATGTCATAGGTTGTGGCAGTCTGTTCCAAATGTGTGGGCACCAGCAGACGGCATGACTTCAAAAGACCCGTGCCAGCATCACAGCATGTTGCTCATCTTGTTCCACAGTGACAGTCAACCAAATCCCTTGCACTTTCATTTCTTAATGAAGATTGTATTTTATTTCTCTGCGTCTTAAAACGAAAGTGTGGACGTGAGAACAGAAGCCACTTGTTAAACTTACGGCTTCGCAATTTCATGTCAAGCAGCGAGCACTCAACAAAGGAATTTGTTGTGTAATATATTTGGCAGTGTCAATGGCTGTAAAAATGTCACAGGTCCTTAAAACTTGCTTCAGGTGCATGTGAAACTTGCCAACTTTATTAAGTAAGACTGGGTTAGCATCACAGCACAGTCAGAGAGATCCTGTATCTGGCTTCACGCCCTGGAGAAACTCTTTAATGGTCCGCTGCAGTGGGTATGACACCGGATCCCAGAGTCAGAGCTACTAAATCTGTAACAGGACCCCAGATTAAAATGGAGGAGAGAGACCTGAGGAACCAAGATGAGATTCCAGAGGGGTGACCACTTGACTTAAACTCAAACAGCTGTAGTGTTTATTGTATCTGGGTGTTTAAATGTCCACGCATGCACCATTCTTTTGTGGGAAATCCACTATTTCCCCTCTGTTAAACATTGATTGCTGGAATAGTGGGAGCTCCATTAGGAAAGCAACTGAACCTTACTGTGTTCATTAATGAAGTAGCTGCTACACATTGCAAAAAACAAGCTGATTTTAAAACAAGGCCCATAGATGAACGGTCTGCAAAGAGTTGTTTTGTTTGAGGCAAACAGGTGTTGAGTTCTGGAGCACAACATTTTAGTATTCATTATTCAAGAGGGCTCAACAGAACTGGCTGCAGTTCTGCAGGAAGGGGAGGAAGGTGGGACGTTGAAGAGGATCACATTTTTCTAACATTTCATCATTGTGCTTTGCATGCAACATGGAAAACAAAAAGTTGGACCAAACATTTGGGGGAAAGACCAAGTACATCAATCACTTGGGGATGTGAAAGAAATCAAGAGGCTGCAACTCTGCAGAGGGACATCTGTTGTTTTCTCTGCCACACATTCTCTGCACAATTTGAGAATATTTGTGTTTGGTAATGCTGCATTCAAGATCTGGAAAAGGAGAATGTTATGTGTTGGATTTAAGTGATTCATTTAAAAAAATCTAATGTTCTACACAACAAAGGACACAATAGTTTAGCGGTGATTATAATGTTGTTGATGTTAGCTGAGGCAACTATTCAGAACCATAGGGTTCACAAAGAGAACCTCTATGCTTGCATAGAGGGTAGAGTGAGTCGAGGCACAAAAGGAGAGCACTACTCAAACTGCCCGACATACATTAACAATACTGAGCATTGGCCGGGACAGCCCCCCACTGCCTCACACCACCTTCTCTCCCTATAAGCTTCTCCAATGTCTGTCTGGGGGCTCTCCAATGTCTTTTTAATCTTTTCAAGCAAAGGTGCAAGTTTAATTGTATTATTGAAATAAAGCTCTCAGTACATGCCATCAATTACCACCCTATAACAAAAACAATACAGTGCTAAACTAAACACCAGAGCACAACATTTAGCGGAGCAACATAAATCACCAATGTAATGGGATGTATAAATACAGTACATTGCAGTTTATTATACTACTGATAAATCTTTTCTGAATAAATCATTTACTTACATGACAAATATCCCTTTTAGTGAATGCCATGAATGTCATTTTTCACCACCAAAAACTAAACCCAGCCATTGTGAAGACATATTGACAAATAATAATGAAGAGTCTAAACTAACCGTTTGTTAATTCACTAAACCACAGGATGAATAACACAGTAATAGCAATGTCCTTGGCCTTTACTGGACATTGGATTTATCAGGCAGGTGAATGATATTTAAAACACTAATGGCCCTCTGTTGTGATTGAAAATGAATGTTACAATGTTACATGTGGTTACACCACACCAGTGGTTCAAACACTGTAACAGGGCACAAAGCTTTGGAATGGTTATAAGGGAGGTGCAGTCTTATGGCTTTCATTTATATAAGACATACCATAATACATGTTTTGCAGAAATTATAGTGTTTTAAATTGAGTTTGGTGGAGTTATAATGACACAAAGCATCTACTTCTATGTAGACACAAAAACATTTCACAGAACATCAATGTAGATTCGTACAGTAACCCATCAAAGATTGGTCCCATTCTTTTGATGTGATACTGTTTACTGAATGGAGAATAGCCCAGTTTACAGAATGGAGAGTAACATCAAAACATGAAAGCTTTGTAATTCACAGTTAGAAAATAACCTTTTAATTCCTTAGTCAACTCCTTTATTCCCCGTAGCATCTTTGCTCTCCTAAACAAGCCTGACAGAAATTACATTTAATGCTCCATTTCCTGAGCTGTGGTAAACTAAACTCGGCTCATGTGTTCCTCGGGCTTAGTTTCACGCTCTGGAGATGTTGTGGCTCACGGATAAAGCCACATTTTGTTGCAAACCTTTAGGGTGGCAGTAGGTCTACATAAATTAAACAACACGCCATTGGCTGTCAGCCAAAAGCAGCATCCTCACAGAAATGTAGGTCAAATGTGTTAACCTATATCTGCAAATGACAACAAGGTATTTATTTACCACAACTGCTGAAGCGAAAAACAATGTTGTTTCAATTGAATTCATCACGGAAGGGACATGGAACAATGTCCCCTAACACATCCACGAATCATAGTATACATTTGTGTCAAAGAATACATTAACTAATACACTGGCATGGCAAAAACTAGTTTTATGGTCTTAAATCTAATTAGTTTCAATAAGAGCTTGACATTAGTCAGGTTTTCCGCTCTGGACATTCCTGTCACATTACGCAGCCGTAGGCTAGTACTACTTACCTTTTGTCACTACTTCAGATTTATTTTTAAAAATGTATTCTAAAAAATGTTTTCAACTATTTAATGCTTCATTTGAATCAAAATTCAAGTCTTACAGGCACTACCAGGAAATTGTAGTAGCAGACAGAGTTAAAGAAAACAAAATACTTCAAGATGTTTGTGCAGTTACTCGATATAGTAGTAGTGCATGACCACCAGTCAAACTGTTGAACCACCCACCTGTATCTTGACAGCTATCGACAAGGAGTTGAGCTCTTTATCCAGTTCTCTGAGGACAACCAGCTTTTTCAACGTGAGGCTGCAGAGCCTGTGAAAAGGAGAAGAACAGGAGAACGGTGTGAAAAAAGGATTAAGAGCATGACTAACACAATGTGAGAGCACACCTTCATTACAGGCTGTCAGAGCAGCACATGCTGCTTCCCACATTTTATTTCTGTTTTGGGGTGTGAAATTTACAGGCAGCTCTTGGAAAACATCAATAATCACAGAGAGAGCAGCTGAGCGATTAAGTCCTGTTTTGTGAACAGATGACACGCCACGGTGCTTCTTAATCTGTCAGTTTATGAGACGGAAATTCTAATGGAAGCAGCCGACACAGAAGAGCTCATGTAGTTCAATTCCGATTTGCTTTGTTGAAACATGTTGGTAGAATGCAGTGAAAAATAGGAACTCTGTACAGTAAAATGCACTGTACTAAAACAGGAGAACACATGTACTGCAGGTAGATGCCCGCTGGACATGGCAGTTACAGTCAGACAAAATAAAATTCCATAACTCTTTGGCATGGCTAACTATTTTTGTCAAGCTCTGAAAACATTTTTTTTCACTCCTTACTTTACTCCTAACCAAACACCAGGCGACAAAGCTTTGTTTCCCCTGCAGTCAAGTTGCACTGATCACTTTAGAGTTTCACAATGGAAGTATAGAGAGTCATACTTTATGAAAAGACAAAGTATGACTGTTAAAATGTGTCATGGATGAGACACGTGAGAATGAATCTGTCTCCACTTTATACAGCATTAAAAAAAAATAATAGTGTCATGAGTTTGTGAACAAACATTTTTTGTTCTCAAGTCTGACAGCGACTGATGCCACCGTGTTTGATGATGTGTGTCTGCGTGACTCAGTTAGTTAATTCATATTGTTAGCCTAGTTATACCGAGGCAGATGAGACACGTGGATTTGTACACGTTGGTGTCGTAAGTGATGACAGCAGCATGTGGCATGGTATTTCCTTAAAGTCTTTTTATACTTACTCATTGTTTCACAATAGTTTTACTTCTCGTTCTGCTTTGTGAGCAACAGAATTTCAAAGAAACTGTTTGCCCCTGAGCCTAAAGATACAATCGATCACGCAGACGTCTTAAGATCGAGTCTGAATCAGCTGGATAATCTTTTTTCTGTTAAACTTTTTTTTTCCTCCCATTACGTGCGACATCGTAACCATCAGTAATAAGCAGACGGGACCCGAATACAGCACAAGGGAGACTCTCTTCAGGTGCAGCAGGTTTATTCACAAAGTGCAAAAGAACACAACAATTATCTACAAAAATTGTAGAATAATTGTACAGTATTCTAATACTACAAAGTGGAACTACCCACAAAGACGGAAAAGTCCAAATGTGCTTCAACCAAAAACAATAAATCAGCCAGTACATTTCAATGTTCTGTTTTAATGGTTGAACATGAAGCTGTGCAGATGTTCCCTGGCAAACGGAAGAGAGAGAGAGAGAGAGAGAGAGAGACACCAGGTAGTAATGTCTCAATGTCTTGGCCATGTGTGAACAAATATAAATTATGATGACTTTATATATCCAGATGGTGTCCTATTATTCAAATGTGTGTTCACAAGTTGGGCCGTAAGTGATGTAAGGACGACACTGAAGCTTGCACTGATTAAATTAACCCTATAGAAGGAAAGAAAAAAAGTCAGCCAAGAGTCAAAGGAGATTCCAGGGTAGGTTCATCCAGGCATCTAGCAGGAATTTTCTTTAACAACCATAATAAAACAAGAGGAACTCGGTATTCCCCTGCAGTCTTGTTTGATCCAAAAATGAATTCAAGTGTAAATTGCCAACACACTTGGCTGCACATTTCCTAAGTTACCCTGTGCCAGAAAATATGACTGCAAATGTGTTTGAGGCTGGAGTAACTAAATGGTAAACCATGTAGGCACACAGATTCTTTATGGTGGGGGTGAGTCACCAGTCGGCTACAGCTTCCTGTCGAATGGGAGACAGACAGAAATGGTTTATTGAAGTGTTATTCCTATCACACCTAGTGTCTCTCTTTGGTCACCTTCTCTGTATTTCTCTTGACTGGGATTCACATGTAATTAAAAAGGGTGCAGGTGCTGAACGGGTCACCAAGGGAACGGGGGAGTGTTTATTATTAGACAGAGGTGTTATCTCCACTCCTGCTGTCCACTGTCTTGTGTTGTAAGCGAACCTCACAGCCATCTGCTCTGGCTCTGTACCAGTCAGTCTCTGTGCATGTAAATAGTGCCAGTTGAATTTGCCACCCAAACAGTGTCTGCAGCAACAGGCTATGTGTCACACCAAAGCACTACATCTTTGTGCTGACCAAAGGTGGCTTTTACAGTAGGTCAAAAATCATCTGGCACTGCAAATATATAGGTTATGTTATTATTTGTGGAGCTGCATCATTCTATTCACGCTCCAAAGAACTGAACGCAGCAGTGTTATCAATGCACGGAGCACACTGCGTGGGTGGAGAATCTTTTCAAGACATCAGTTCAATATTTCTGTCAACAGGCAGTGGAAAGCTAAGATAAGTGAAACACATTCTGCCTGTTTGTCTGGTGATAGGAAGAAGTTGGGGGTGGGGGGGGGGTCTCTTTACAGTTTTTACTGCCTGTGCTGGTTAGGCCCAAGTTATTGCCTGCCTTGCTGTACTGATTAGGTCATCATTGTTATAGACACACTGTAGACTTTATTGATGTTTGCGTGCAGTGGTTGCATAGTATAGTGCTGAGCATGCCTGCCTCAAAGCAAGGAAGCAGATAGTCTTGAGTTCGATTCCCAAGGGAACCACATACTAGGTGCCTCCAAGGGGCAGCCCGTTGTAGCAGATATGTTGTAAACACACAAGATTCCCAAATGTGGGAGCAATAATGTTCAAATTATTATTATTTATTATTATCATCATTATGCATGTCTGACCAGTGGTTTTGGACTCTCCTGCTGGCTGTCAAATGTGTCAATATGGAAAGCAAAATCAACCATTACTCTCTAAAAAGATGAAGAAACAACAGTTGGAAAATTGTTTAAGTTCAAGCTGTAGCAGCAGCGAAATAAAATTTGTTTTACTGCTGACCAAACTGTCACTGGGAGATGGTTGCCATGAGCTCGGCCTAAATAAAGACCGCTCTCTTCCAGTGTTGAGGTAAACAAAGAGCCTGGGCACAGTTTGAGGAATGTGTTAATAAAGCAACTGACAGAAACTCAGTAGAAAGCAAGACATTTAATTCACCAGCCAACAGCACTCTATGAAATGCCAAACAAAATGGAACAAACAGTGTTACAATAGCTTTAGCATTAGCTTGTAGACAACACTGATTTTCTTCCCTAAAGGTTAGGTATGCCAGCATTTATCTATTAACTATATAACTTTGTTTCTAATATAATGTAGTTTTTGTTGCGTCTTTGAAGGAGGTGGGTCCAGATCAGTGGTAAGTGTAGCAGCTCTTCATGTTTATTTGATGACCTTCTCAGTTAGATGGGCCAGTTGCAACACGCATGTCTTATATCTGGTATCTAGTGTCCTAAGTTGCTAACTTCCCAAACTAAAAACAGTGTAATACAGTTTACAGTTCTTGTGGAAAAAGTTTAGCACACAGAGTACCAGCACTACAGGCACACATAAACAAATACAAACAGAGCATGGACCAGAACTTTGCCCACTCCTGGAATGGACGGATGGGCAGCTGCTTGATTTCATGTTTATAAAGAGCTAGTAAAGATTTGAAAAAATGAAATATAGTCTTTTTCAGGATTGTGAAACAAAGAAATTCAAAATTATATTTTGAGGCAAACAAAAATGTCCCTGTCAAGATGTGAGATACATATTCATGCATTCATGCATGTTTCACTGGTTAAAAAACCCAGACTTAAACAGTGTTAATATCACTAGAAGATCCTCTGGATCTGTCACAGAGTGATCTTTGAATTTTAATTTTGCATAGTCACAAATATATTTGATTTTTGTCATAATCCAATCAGAACTTTGCATCACTTTGAATGAATAGTTTAATTGACATTCAGTTGCATTCTAAAAGACTAAGATTATGTTCATGTAAATCATGCTAACTATGTTGTTGATATTGTGCAATATATTTTTGGGTTTTTTTCCTAGTAATTATGTGTCATACACCCCCCACTGCATGTCCATCACCAAAGTGGGACATGCTCAGGGTGGTAACTTGGCAGCTCATAGCATTAACTGACCCTAAAACACTAAACTACAATAGTTCAGGCTAACTATGTTGTTGATATTGTGTAATATATTTTTGGGTTTTTTTTCCTAGTAATTATTTGTCCATCACCAAAGTGGAACATGCTCAGGGTGGTAACTTGGCAGCTGGTGGATTCGAACCAGGAGCCTTCTGGACTCAAGTCCACTTCCTTAACCACTAAGCCACCACTGCCCAAAAACATCACGTCTCTGTGTCCTCAAGGTACCTGGACAGTGTACAACCCACAGCTTTAGTGTATACAGCATCAACACAAGCAGTGCCGCTCCATATAAGCCCATTAGTGCATCCATGTCACTTACTGTGCCATCGCTAACTGTTGACCTTTTCAGCCCCTAATGGCAAGGGAATCCATTATATTACAAGACCATTTCCTTCTTTAAGATTACACACAGACCGCTTCCTGTGACATAACACGATTACCACAAAAAGCAAAAAAAAAAAAAGTTTTTTGCAACGTTGAGTGCTTTTGCTGCATCTTTAAAATATACAGTACTAAAAAGGCCATTTCATGTTTATTTGGATTTGATACAATCTTTAAATATATATATATATTTTAAATATTACATAAATACTACATATTCCCTGCACGTCTTCATTATCACAGAGTACTACATGTATTAACCCATTTGAGAGCAAATGCATTTGAAAATGACCAATGTTTTTTGTCTGAAGCACTAGTTAAGAATTCAGGGAACACTAGCTATTGTCTGCTGTCGTTTGCATATTGTTTTTTTTTTTACTTATTTAAAAATAGCTTGGAAGCAGCAAACAAATGACTAAGATAACTATGTAACACTTTTTGGTCTGTCTCA